AACCTGCAGCTGCTCATCGACCTCACAGAGCAGGAGATCATCCAGAGTGACCGGCAGCTGCAGTATGAGCGGGACATGGTGGTCAACCTGTCGCATGAGCTGGAGAAGATGTCAGAGGTCCTAGAGCACGAGGAGCGGGTCATTGCCAACCTCAGCAAGGTCCTCGAGATGGTAGAGGAGTGCGAGCGGCGTCTGCAGCCCGGCTGCAGCGACCCCCTCACCCTAGACGAGTGCGCCCGCGTCTTTGAGACCCTGCAAGACAAGTACTACGAGGAGTACAGGATGTCTGACCGTGTGGACCTGGCCGTGGCCATTGTCTACCCACTCATGAAGGAGTACTTCAAGGAGTGGGACCCGCTGAAGGTGAGCGGCTGGCGAGATTTGCCTCTCTGCTCCTGCCCGCGGTGGGGGCCTGGGCCTAGAGAGGCTGCACCGGGCAGGGTGGCTGAATCATGGCTGCATCTCTCTCTAGGACTGCACTTATGGCACCGAGGTGATCTCCAAGTGGAAGAGTCTCCTGGAGAATGACCAGCTCTTATCCCATGGTGGGCAGGACCTGTCGGCAGACGCCTTTCACAGGTAGTCACGTGGGAACCGGGAGGAAGATGCCACTGGGGAGGGTGAGGAGTGGCCCTGCTCTAGGGGTTTCTGTGTACTTGTCCACCCTGCGCCCGTGAGCGTCATGCACAGGCCGGGCGCCGGGCTTGCCATGGGGTTGAGGCAGACAGCCTCAGCCTGCAGAGAGTGTGAAAAGCAGGTGGAGGATAAAGAAGCAGACAGACAAGGCCAGGGATGATAAACAGAAAGGACACGCCCGTTTGGGGTAGTGGGAATAACTGGAAGCAGAGGTCTCCGAGAGGTGACATTTGAGCTGTGACCCATGAGGTGAGTCATCCAGCTGCACACACAGCTCCAGCGGGAAGGCAGGCCATCCCTGGAGAGGGGACCCTTGTGACCCCACAGCAGCCCTGCCAGGCAGGCGGGTACTGGCAGAGCGGTCCAGACGCTGTGGATGAGCAGGTGGTGGCTGGGTGAGGGGTGATGAGGCTGGTGCAGGTCTGGCCAGGATGGGGACTGGCCTGGTGGTTTACTGTGTTCATTTCTGTGCCTTTTTCTTTCTTATTCTGGAGAGTTGGTGGTGGTATACTTGGTCTGCTTTGAAACCTGTCCGTGCAGTTAGCCTGCCCGCTGCCTTTCTCCCACAGGCTGATATGGGAAGTCTGGATGCCTTTTGTTCGAAATATTGTCACCCAGTGGCAACCAAGGAACTGTGACCCGATGGTGGACTTTTTGGACAGCTGGGTGCACATTATTCCCGTGTGGATCTTAGATAACATCCTGGACCAGCTCATCTTCCCCAAGCTGCAGAAAGAGGTAGAGCCCCAAGTCATGGGGGACCGCTGGAGTAACCAGGGGCCCTTCACTCCCTCAGTGCCGTCAGAAGGCCTGGAATGAACAGAATCTGCTGACACGGTGATTGTCCTATGGGTAACTCCAGCCCTTTTGTTGGCACTTTACCCCCAACAGATTCCTGTTTAAATAGGGAATTCATTTTCTCAGTTTGTCTAATGCAAGCAGAATTTGTGCCATTTGAGAGATTCCATGCAATTGCCCTGGTGGTAGTGGTTTGGTTATGCAGAGGCGTGTGGGCTGCACGGTGCAGGTGGAACTGCTGTTTTGTCCCACACCTTCTGCAGGTGGAAAACTGGAACCCACTGACAGACACTGTGCCCATCCACTCCTGGGTCCACCCGTGGCTGCCCCTCATGCAAGCACGCCTGGAGCCCCTTTACTCCCCCATCCGCAGCAAGCTGTCCAGCGCCTTGCAGAAGTGGCACCCCAGCGATTCCTCTGCCAAGCTCATCCTCCAGCCCTGGAAAGATGTCTTCACCCCAGGCTCCTGGGAAGCGTTCATGGTCAAGAACATAGTGCCCAAGCTGGGTGAGGAAATGGGGAAGGGGCATTAGGTCCAGCAGCTTTGGTGCCCTGGTTTCTGTGGCCAGCGGTAAGGGATCCATGCTTCTTAAAACACGGGCTTGGAGCTCAAGGAGAAAGCCGAGGACGCGGTACTCCTCACCACAGGAAGTGCCATTTTGTGCACAGAGGTGGCATATAAATGTACCTGGGATCCTGACGACAGCAGCAGCCTGAGGCTCCGCAGGCCTCCTGCTTCCAGATTGGTCTAGTTTGGGCTTCTCGTAACATGCTAGGCATCGGTGTTCTGAGATTTTTGTGGTATTTGATTTTAAATATGTATTTATTGTTTCTGGGTTAGAGACGAAAAGGGTTTTCAAGAACTGGCATGTCAAGGACTTAAAACTGATAGATAAAAGCAAATTTAGGCCAGTGTTTTCTGATGAGGATTTTGCTCTGTGCTTCTGGGACTCTGCCTTAAAGCTTGGGTTGCTTTTGCAGGGATGTGTCTTGGGGAATTGGTCATTAACCCCCACCAGCAGCACATGGATGCGTTTTACTGGGTCATCGACTGGGAAGGCATGATCTCTGTGTCTAGCCTGGTAGGCCTGCTCGAGAAGCACTTCTTCCCCAAGTGGCTTCAGGTATACCCTGCTCTGCTGTGGTTTTGGGGCAGCTTCCCAGGGGGTGGGGGAGGGGAATGGAGGCAGGGAGGATTACACTTAATTTCCTGCCCAGGTCTGACTGCAGGGGCTTGATCCCTGGGTAACTGTCAAATGCTATCACACAGGACAAAAATAAACAGTAATCCCAGCAGCCACCACTTACTGAACATACGCCATGAGCCAGATGTGAAGCATTTCATGTGGTTCTCTCCACTCCTCACACCACACCTTTGTGGGGGGACCATCACAGCCCTGTCATTTAGGGGCTGAGGTTTGGTGAGTTTACATTCAAGGGAGCTTAGCTGGCAAACGGACTCCAAATTCTTGGAGTCACTTGGAGTGGAGTCATACTCTGAAAGCTTCTGTTCAGCCCCTGTAATCCCCTACACATCTCCTTGTAGGACCACGATCAAAACAAACAGAAAGCTTTGCTCCCATGTGCCACCATCGTGGATGCAGATGTCCGATTTGTTTCTTTTTGGCAGGTGCTGTGCTCTTGGCTCAGTAACAGTCCGAATTATGAGGAGATCACCAAGTGGTACCTGGGTTGGAAGTCCATGTTCTCAGACCAAGTGCTGGCACACCCATCTGTCAAGGACAAATTTAATGAAGCATTGGACATCATGAATAGGGCGGTGTCCTCCAATGTTGGTGAGTGAGGATTCCGCTTTAGGGCTCCTTGTTCCAAGCGTCGTGTTTCTGAACACATAAATGACACAGAAGCAAGAGTTTTCGGGTGCCTGTGGGCTGTCCGCTCCAACATGGACTCTTCCCCACCAGACCCCCTGCCCATCTCTGCTGGCCCTAGGAGGGGCACAGGGCCCCGACCCGAGTCTCACTGCAGCCAGATTCATACTGGGGGGAGCCTGCCTCTAGGGCCACCTTCCGGGTTCGCCGGCACGCCTGTGAAGAGCTCAGTGTGCTCTCTGAGTGGAACAGCCTGACACCTAGAAGTTGCCTCTCCTCACCTGGCCTATTTTATTTACTTGTGGAACAGTCATAATGCCTACTTGTAGAGGTTCTTAAAAACCTAGAGGGGTGAAGTGAGCCCTGGTCTGTACAGCACTTTGCAGGTGGTATCTTTGTTGTCTCAGAAGTAGGCAGGTGACTGTCCCCTTCATACCCATCCCAGCTTCTGACCAGGTGAGTCACTGTGCTCGCATCCCAACACAAAGGCCACCGTGGTACCCAGGCCAACCCTGCTTCACAGACAAGCCCCACAAGGCCGAGAGCTTGTTCAAGGTCACACAGCTACAGTGGCAGCTGGGACTGTAATTTCTGTTTTCTGAATCTTTAGTTCTTTGAGCCTGTTACATGAAGAGAAGGTTCATGGTACATATACTCTGCTGAACGAGGCAGATAGACTTCTCAGATCTCGCTCACCTGGGCCCCTCAGTAGGTCATCCTGATCCTTTTCATACTCTCCAGAAACTCTCCCTCGGCCACCCTGGCTTCGGGCCACCTCCTAGAGCTGGTCCCATCCGTTTCCCTTAGCACTGGACATTGTGGCCCTGTACTGTCCTTCAACATCTATTTGAGTTCCCCAGATGCATTCTAAATTCTCCCAGGGCTGGGGCCTCTATGGAGAAGCTAAAAACAGAACTAGGCTAGGCCGTGTGTTGTCAAGATTTCCAGCCCTAGAAGGATCAGTCTTGTGCAGGAATTCACGTTAATCATCTCTCTGGTTGCTACACATTAGCCAGAAACCTTCAGACCAATTTTTGTATGCTTGCGGGTGGCTGTCTAAACTTGCTGAAGGCGCTTGCCATCTGCCTTAGTGCTTTGTGTCTCTGAGGCCCAGCTGCCTGTGAAGTTGGAACCCCACTCCTCACCCCTCTCCCCTCTGGCTCTCCCAGGTGCCTACATGCAGCCCGGAGCGCGGGAGAACATAGCCTACCTCACGCACACGGAGCGGAGGAAGGACTTCCAGTACGAGGCCATGCAGGAGCGACGGGAGGCTGAGAACATGGCCCAGCGGGGCATTGGCGTGGCTGCCAGCTCTGTGCCCATGAACTTTAAGGACCTCATTGAGACCAAGGCCGAGGAGCACAACATTGTTTTCATGCCAGTCATCGGGAAGCGACACGAAGGGAAGCAGCTCTACACCTTTGGCCGCATCGTCATCTACATCGACCGGGGAGTGGTGTTTGTCCAGGGTGAGAAGACCTGGGTGCCCACCTCCCTGCAGAGCCTGATCGACATGGCCAAGTAGAGGGGGAAGGCTGGACCTTGCACCGGAGAGGGGACATGGTCATGAATAAACGGTATTTTAAACCGCCTCTGAAATAGTTACTCTCCATCCATGGATATCCCTGGTCAGGTCAGCAAGAAATGACAAAACCTAATGCTAACGCTAAGGCGGGTCAGTCTTTACACTGAGCCCTTCCATGGCATGTCCTCTGCCATGCGTATTTTCACTGCGTATTTTCCGGGCTCTCGAGTCTGGCCCGCCACAAAGAAGGGTGCTCCCCACACGGCCACCCTGTCATCTCTGGGGACAGCTGCCCTGCCAGGGTAAGTTCTGGTCAGCAGCTGAGGGAGCTCTTCCCTTGTTCCTGATGATTTCAAGGTCCTCACAGTCCTGGTAGTCTGGTTCTTCCCGGAAAGCCCAAGTGTCTGTGGGGAGTCGTCGTAGCTTCTGTACAGGGAACCAGTGGATGGAGGTATCGTTAAATACGTCCGTGTACTGTGAAGTCTCAGGCAGCTCAAGCTCCTCCAGTCCTTTTAAAACCTGAGCAGGAAAATTCAAATGTAAAATACACGAACCTGATGGTCACAGTAAACCCCCACACTTCCGGGTGCCATTTATCAGTCACCCCCAGGTTACCCTTTTAAAAAAAAAAAATGAGGATTAGAGTATGTTGACTTAAGCCTGTCTGTGATGAACTGGAAGCTCCAAGGGCAGTGAGTGTGTGGGACTGACACTGAGAGTGAAGGACACATCCTTGCTTTCTGCAACACAGAGCTGCTGAGAAAGCTCATGGAGTACAGTAACTTCACTGTGCCCTCTGTGAGCCCCTCATGAGCTCCGCCCACATCCACAAAGGCAGAATTCACAATTAACAGGGAAATGGTCTGGTTTCATACCCTTTTTCATCCTACCTTCATTTACATAGATACCTTTGCAATGTAGGCATAATTTTTCTGTAGAATCCTTGCCAGCAATCTGGAAATTAAAAAAAAAAAAAAAAACAAGCCCAGCATGATTAGGAGGTATGGGAGTGGTTTTATCTAGTTTAAGACATTATAGAAACGCAAAGTAGCTTAAAGATAGCAAACATTTTTAAAAGGAGGGGAACATGGAGCAAGTTCAATATAATCCATAGAAAAGATGAATGTCCCATAACCAACCACCCCTTTTGTGAGGGGAGGAGTGACAGTGGACACCTAAGGCATGTGCAGCTGAGAGAGCAAATGGTTTCCACCACTTTTGGTTTTTTTAAGATTTGATTTACTTGCTGGAGAGACAGCAAGAAGCACAAGCAGGGGGAGCAGCAGCCAGAGGGAGAAGCAGGCTTCCTGCCAAGCAAGGAGCCCAATGTGGGACTTGATCCCGGGACCCCAGGATCATGACCTGAGCGGAAAGCAGATGCCCAACCAACTAAGCCACCCAGGCATCCCTCCCACTTTTAAATACACTTGTGCACCTTAAGGGAAGGGAGGAATTCTTGGCAAGCAGACCTCCTTAACTCTGCAGCTTTACTCGGGGTTGGTGTCCCTAACAGGCTGGTTTCCCGCACACAGGTCTGTCAGGAAAGCTCCCGCCGCAGCCTGACAGGACCTCTGTGCGCTTGCGCTCACCTCTCCTCGAGTCCTCTGAAGCTGTTCCCAATGATGAGCATCTTGGCAAGGGCGTCCACTGACCAGTTACTGCAGAGAAGGTTGTTGTACAGGGCTGTGCCGCAGTGGGGCATGTAGAAGATAGTGCGCTCACCGTGGACGCTCCGTCTGCCTTCCTGTGGGGATGGCACGTGCAGTGTGAGCCCCTCCGCTCTTCCCGGGAGGTTGTGGCAGGGGCACAGGGCACGTCTGTGAAGAGCTGAGCGCTCTCACCACAAAGTAATCACAGTGCATGGGGTGAGGGACACAGGTCAGCCACCCTTCTGTATGTGTTTCACAACAGACCTGTGTACCAAGCCAGGCCGCATGCCTTAGACTGACTTCTACGTCTGTGACAGCAGCACCTCTGGAGGAAACCAGGAACTGCGAGGGAGACAAGTTGAAACCACAAGGAAACAAACCCCTTCCTTTGCGAACAGTCAGGTTATCGTGTGGCCTAACAGAAATGGACAGATGAAGTGGGCCTCAAAGTCGGGAAATCATGAGGTCCAGAAAGAACTTGTGTTTACTGAAGAGATGTGTGTCCCACAAACACAGAAAGCTCTGGATCAGCAGAGGGGCTTCTTAGGTCTGTGACAGCAAGGGCAGGAGGGGTAGCAAGAGTTACTATCCCCATGGACTGTGCATGGTCAGCCTCTGGGCCTCCTGGGTCCCTTTATGCAGATGCCTATCACAGTCCCTTCCAAATGTCCGCTGGGATTAACAGCCCCTCCTGGGGACCGTGGCTCCACAGTCGTACCCACGGCTGGGACACAGGCCCTGTCTGCCCTGGCCTCTCTGCTCTGTACTCTCGTCCCTTCTGTTCATCACAAACAGGCAGAAGCCTGCCTGGGGCCATCCAGCCAACTCCTGGTGGGCCTGCAATCCCAGCGCCAACCCAGGAAACCTTCCTCTAGCCCCTCAAGCGGCGCAGAGTGCTTTCCCCTCTCTGTTCTCCGTTCTGCTCACCACGTACTTGTTTACAGGCCACACACCTTGACGGGACACTGGGCTCCCTGGAGGCTGGGACTGCATCTATCCTGGCATCCCCCCAAAGTCCATGCCTGGCACAGAGAAGGCACCCAGAAAAGAAGACGGCATGAATGGAGTGGCAGGGTTTCAGGGCCCCACCAACATCAGTGAAGGATTCTCTTGTCTCAGCAGGGCTTGATTTTCGGGCTTTGTAATAAATGAGATGGCCATTTTGGAAGATGGAGAGGGATCAAATGACTACTCTGTAATCCCCCCAGCAACGCAAAGCGGCTTGCAGGGGTGTGTGCCTACACTGGCTTCAGGCCCTGCTGCAGAGGTGATCTTGCTCTGCATCTCATAGTTTCACCTCGGGGCAGAAGATCTACCCACAGCTCCCAGCCAGATGCTAAGGGTGTGACTGGGCTACCATGCAAAGAGAGATATACTCTGCCCTTCTATGATCTCCCCTAAGACAGGGTAAATCCCAACCAGAAAGCCCTCCTTTGAGGCACTGATACTATGTACCCCTTTATTTTTTAAAACCAACGGTAAGTACCAACTTAGGAAATTACCAGAGGTTCCTGGACATGGGATTCTCACCAGAATTTGGCAAATATAACAGGTTTCAGTCCATGCCATTTGTGCCATTTGGTGTTTTTGTGATGGGCACCACCTAGGCCATGATGTGGGTCACTGCCAGGTCCCCTGTGACAGGCGCCGGGAAGGCACATGAGCAGCAGGAAGGAGGGAATGATGGCTAATGCAGAGCAGGTGCCTCCATGGGGCACAGCCTGGGGACCCCCTTTGGTCAGTAGTCACACAGCCCTCCTGCTCCCCTTCCCCAAGACTCACCTCGTTCTCACTGAGAACAGTCACACCAAGGCTCTTCAGAACTGCAAGTTCTAGCTGGCTAAACAGAGGGTCGTACACCCAGCAGTGCCTCCTGGGAATCTGCAGAAGGGGATAATGGGTTCTGTCAACCCAAAGATCTGTGTGCAGACAGTGTGCAAGGCCAAGGGATGGAGTGATCAACAAGAATCTAAAAATGTACCTGGCACTTTTCCAGGAAGAGAAGCAGAAAGGTGAGCTGGTGTCTAGCTATGACGCAGGTGGCAAAGTTTCCAATGCCATAACATACACACTTCCAACAGCAGGTTCCCGGGACTGGGTTCTCCCCTGGGATGAAGCCAGGAGTCACAGCAGACTCATTTGGTGAGGAGTCAAGATGCAGGTTTCCAAGGGCTTCCGAAAGAGTCCCCTCAGGGACCTTCAGTTGTTCCAGATGTTTTTTAAGACAGCTGTTGATGGTTTCTGAAAGAGCAGGCCCCTGAACACAATCAGAGGGTGTGCTCTGACCCTGTGAACTAAGTCTGTCACATAAGTCCACAGACCCGGGGAGAAAAGGAGCAAGTTGGGAAAGGCTTCATTCAGCTTCTCAGGGAGAAGGCCAAGGGACTCACTCCCCAACATGCCTGGGAGGTACGGCCAGGCCCACCAGCACCACAGGCTGTCCTGGGTCCCTGTGCACCCCCCAGCCTGCAACCCCAGAGAACTTTCCAGTAAAAAATAGGCTTCATTTATGGGCACGGTTTCCACCCAGAATTCTAATGTGAACTGTGTCTAATTTATTAAGAGGTACCTGGTAAATGCGGGTTATGCTCTGAAATAACCTACTTTTTTATTATAACAAAGAACCTAGAAACAGAGCTCTCAAAATCACACTACAAAAGGCTGGGAATAGGAATATTTAATGTGTAAAAACTTCAAAGAAAAAAAAGGCTGGGGCTTTTGGAGTCTAACAAAAAATATTCTGTTTAAATCTTCTCATATGGCAGTGAGTTCTCTTGTCTCTCATTTTATTATATTGATACTGAATTTATTTGAACAAATCTGTACACAAAACAACTGTGTTGCCACAGTCAGATGCCGATTTTCACTTACTAGCAAAACTACCTTAAAAACAGTCCCCCGGCTTCAAAAGGCTGCGGGCAGAACTGGCTCTTTCAGTCCTTGCTGTTGAAAGTCCCAGTGGAAGTTTTTAGGAAAACACTTGACAGCAGATATCAAGCTGGTCACTGCCTGTCACTGAGTAAGTCCACTTCTGGGAATATGTCCTGAGAGGATCATCCTAAACTGGTAAGAGTTTTACACAAAAAGGTGCTCATCGAACAGTTATGCATAAGAACTAAAAAAAAAAAAACAAAGGAAACAAACTAACTGTCCCTCAATAAAAATACTAACGGCTATACATTCCCTCCCCATATTAACATTTACGTGGCCACAGACTGTTTAGGGACAGGTCACAACTGCATGGGGAGGAACGGGTCTATGTGGCCATGTTGAGGCAAAGAGTGCATGAAGAGTAAATTTCAACAATGACAGTGGCAGCAGACGCTGATGGCCCCCCCAGGCCCAGGCAAGCACTGTCCTAACCACTTAACCAAACAGCCTCATTTAATCCCCAAAATTACACCACAGGATATGCATGCTGTCACTTCCCTTTCACAGACATAGAAACGGAGGGTCAGGGCTAGTAAGTGCCAAGACACACGGCTGTGAGCAGGAAGTCAGAATTAGAACCCAGCTCTGTGAAGAAAAACAGCACCAAATATGGACTGGACTCCTTTCTTTGCCCACATTCAGGCCCTCCTCCCACACCTTCCACCCCCAGCCTCGGCCATCTGGTACCCACCTAGTGCCAGACTCCAGAAATCAGACAGAAGCAGGTCCTTCCTATTAAAAGAAAAAGGCATGGTCATTCCCCAACCTTCCCCAGGCTGCCCCCTCAGGGACCCTTCTCCTGACCACGACCTGGATGCAGGGATGGAGCGCTCTCCCACACAGCGCTCCCAGAGCACCCAGCGTGGCCCTGGAGTGGCCGGAGGAGGATCCACAGTGAGCATGTCCAGAGCAGACCAGTAGGCCGGTGTTCAGAGAGGACAGAAGGCTTGCCAGAGGACATCCTGATTCCCAAGGACCCCTCTGGGTCTCTTTTGTATCCTCCTCGGTCCACACCATGGCTGAGCACAGACACCGAGCTCCATACAGTTGCTAGATGCACAGAGTGCACCTCTCTGAGCTTTAGTTTCCTGGCCTCTAGAATGTGGGAAAGAATCGTCCCTATCGAGCAGGCTTGCAGAAGGGAGCAAATGGGTCAACACAGAGCATTGGGCTTTGCACACAGTGGGGACTCAAATAAGTCTTTGTTATTATAAATAATAATTATAAATAATTCCAAGGTGAAAGTGAAAGGAGACACGAATCCAGTGTCTGGGCTTTCTTTATTCAAGTCAACTGGCTTAGGCAAACCTGAAGCAGGACAGAGTCAACAGTGATGTGATCTGAAACAAACTCCATGAACTGTCCGATCGAAAGACATACAGTGGCTGAAAACACAATACCCATCCATGTGCCGTCCACAAAAGACTCACTTTGGACATAAGGACAACATAGACCAAAAGTGAAGGGACAGAAAAGATGTTCTGTGCAAGTGGGAATCAAGACAGAGCTGGAAGAGCTATAATCAGACAAAACAGAATTCAGCGCTGTTTAAAAACATACCACCATTTGTGAGACGCAGCAAAAGTGGTTCTAAGAGGGAAGTTTACAGTGATACAGGCCTGCCTCAAGAAGCAAGAGAAGTCACAAATGCATGCCCCATTGTGACACCTTGTGATCTAGAAAAAGAACAAACTAAGCCCAAAGTCAGTAAAAGGAGGGAAATAACAAAGATCAGAACACAAATAAATGAAAGAGGGACAAAAAAAGGAAACGATCAGGGTGCCTGTGTGGCTGGCTCAGTTGGTTAAGGGCCTAAGTGCTGTTCTTGGCTCAGGGTCATGATCTCAGGGTCTTGAGACAGCGTCCGGTGTCAGACTCTGCACTCAGTGTGAAGTCAGCTAGGGATTCTCTCTCCCGCTCTGCTTCTCCCCCTGTGTGCACGTGCTCTCTCTCTCTCAAATAAATAAATGTAAACACCACCAAAACACACACACACACACACACACACACACACACACACAAATTGAAAAAGCTTTAGCTACACACACCAAGAAAAAAAAGAGGGGACTTAAAATCAGAAATGATGGAGGAGATGTTACGACACCACAAAAATACAGAGGCACAAAGTATTGCTGTGAACAGCACACAGCAACAATTTGGACAAACTCAATCAGCAATATATTTATTTTTATGTTTCAAGTTTTTATTTAAATTCTAGTTAGTTGGGGTGCCTGGGTGGCTCAGGTGGTTGAGCGTCTAACACTTGGTTTCGGCTCAGGGTCATGAGACTGAGCCCTGAGTCAGGGTCCAAGCTCAGCATGGAGTCTGCTTGAGACTCTCTCTCTCCTCCTCTCCCTCTGCCCCTCCTGTTCGTGCTGTCTCTCTCTCTCTCATATGAATGAATGAATGAATGAATGAGTCCTAGCCAGTTTACATACGCAGTATAATATTAGTTTCAGGAATAGAATTTAGTGATTCAACACTTACATAAAGCACCCAGTGCTCATCATATCAGCAATTTAAAACCTCCCAAAAAACCAAGTTCCAAGACCAGATGCTTTTTTTTTTTTTAAGATTTTATTTATTTGACAGATCACAAGTAGGCAGAGAGGCAGGAAGAAGGGGGTGGGGTGAAGCAGACTCCCTGCTGAGCAAAGAGCCCAATGTGGGGCTTGATCCCAGGACCCTGAGATCATGACTTGAGCTGAAGGCAGAGGCTTAACCCACTGAGCCACCCAGGCACCCAAGACCAGATGCTTTTAATGGTTAACTTCTACCATTCAGGGAACAAATCATACCAATCCTTCTAACACTTTTCCAAAAAACAGAAGCGAAATCTCGCAAACTCATTTGCGGAAGCCAACATTACCCTGATACCAAAACCAGACAATGACACCCCAAGAAAAGAAAATTACAGGCCAATATCCCTGACGAACATAGATGCAAAAATGTTCAACAAAATACTAGCAAACCAAATTCACAAATATGCTGAAAGGATCATACACCATGATCAAGTGGGATTTATTCCAGGAATGCAAAGATGGTTCACACGTGCACATCAATCACGGTGATACATCATTTTAACATGAAGAACAGCAGTGCCTGGGTGCCTCAGTTGGTTAGGCACCTGCCTTTGACTCGGGTCATGTCATGATCCTGGGGTCCTGGAATTGGGCCCTGCGTCGGGCTCCCTGCTCAGTAGGGGGCCTGTTTCTCCCTCTCCCTCTGTCCCTCCCCCTGGCTCGTACTGGCTCTCTCTCTCAAATAAATAAAATATTTCTTAAAAAGTTAAAAAAAAAAGACAAAATGAAGAATAAAAATCATGTGATCATCTTGAGAGATGCAGAGAAAGATTTTGACAAAATTTAATATCCATTTATGATAAAAATTCTCAACAGAGTTGGTATAGCGGGAATATACCTCAACATAATAAAGGCCACATATGACAAGCCCACAGGTAACATCACATCCAATAGCGAAAAGTTTCAACTATTACTATTTCCTCTAAGAGCCTCTAAGATTAGGAATTTTCCTGATCCTTCCTCGCCACTTTTATTCAACACAATATTAGAAATCCTAGGCAGAGCAGTTATGCAAGAAAAATAAATAAAAGAAGTAAAATGGTCACTATTTACAGATGACAAGTATATAAGGAAAACCTTAAAGACTCCACTGAAAAACTGTTGAAACCAATAAATGGATTCAGTAAAGGTACAGGATACAATATCAATACACAAAAATGTGTTGAGTTTCCATACGCTAATAATGAACACCAGAAAAAGAAATTAGGAAGATGATCCCACTTGAAGTTGCACCAAAAATAATAAAATACCCAGGAATAAAACTTCAAGTAGGTGAAAGCCTGTATACTATAAGACGTTAAGGAAAGAAACTGAAGACAACATACGTAAATGGAAAAACACTCCTTGTTCATGGATTAGAAGAATAGTGTTAAAGTGTCTAAACTTCCCCAAGCCATCTACAGATTCAATGCAATTTCTATCAAAATTCTAACTGCACTTTCACAGAAATAGAACAAAGGATCCAAAAATTTACATGATGCCACAAAAGACTCCGAACAGCCAGAGCAATCTAGAGAAAGAAGAAGCATGTTAAAGGCACCACACTTGCTGATTTCAGTCTATTACAAAGCTAGAGTAATCAAAACAATCTAATATTGGCATAGAAACAGACATGCAGCTTACCAGAACAGGAGAGAGAGTCCAGAAGCAAACACACACATCTATGGTTCACTACCTTATGACAAGGAGCCAAGAATATACAAGGGGGAAAGAAGAGTCTCTTTCATCAGTGGTGCTGGGAAAAACCAGACAGCCACATGCAAAAGAATGAAACTGCACCACTATCTTACGCCATACACAAAAATTAACTCAAAATGAATTCAAGACCTGAGTATAAGACCTGAAACCATAAAACTCTGAGCAGAAAACACAGGGGAAAAGCTACTTGACATAGGTCTTGGCAGTGATTTTTTTAACCTGATACCAGAGGTAAAAACAGCAGCAACAACAACAAACATGTGGGACTACATCAAACTAAAAAGCTTCTGACCAGCAAGGAAACCATCCACAAAATAAAAAAGCAACCTACTGTATGGGAAAACATTTGCAAATCATGTATCTGATAAGGGGTTAATAGCCAAAATAGAAAGAACTCATGCAACTCAATAGCAAAAAACAAATAAACAAAAAACCCCCACAAGCAATCTAATTTAAAAATGGGCAGATCCAAATAGACATTTTTCTAAAGAAGACATACAGATGGTCAACCTGAACATGAAAAGATGCTCAACACCATTAATCATCAGGGAAATGCAAATAAAAACCACAATGAGACACCACTTCACACCTGATAGAATGGCCATTAACAAAAAGACAAGAAATACAAGCTTTGGTGAAGATGTGGAGAAGAGAAAAACCCTTGTGCACTGTTAGTGGGAGTATAAGTTGGTGTAGCCACTGTGAAAAACAGTACAGAAGATCCTCAAAAAAATTAAAAATAGAACTACCATAGGATCCAGCAATTCCCCTTCTGAGTACCTGAAGGAAATGAAAACACGAACTCAAGAAGATATATTCACCCCTGTGTACACTGCAGGATTATTTACAACAGTGAAAATAAAGAAACAACCTAAATGCCACCAGCAGATGAATGGATAACGAAACTGTGGTCAATACACACAGTGGAATCCTACTCAGCCATAATAAAGGATGAAATCTTTCCATTTGCAATGGTGGATCTTGAAGGCATTATGCTGAGTAAAACAGGCCAGTGAGAAAGACAAATACTAGAAATCACTTACATGTGGAACCTTAAACCAAACAAAACAAAAAACTGAGCTCACAGAACAGAGAGGTGACTGCCAGAGGTAGGGGGTTGGAAGTGGGAGAAATGGCTGAAGGGGTCAAAAGGAAAAGGAAAATAAACCCAATTACAGCATCTTTTTTTTTTTTAATTAAGTAAGTTGTACCCCCAATGTGGATCAAACTCAGAACCCTGAGATCAAGAGTCACATGCTCCACTAACAGAACCAGCCAGGAGCCTGGAATTATAGCATCTTCTGATGCTCAGTGTTTTCAGAAAGGCTAAAGTAACATAATCTACGATATTCTGAGGGTTATGTATATATTTGGTAAACATAAAAAAGAGAGAACGCAGACTTCAGTCACACACTCAGGTCTGTATCTGGTTCTAATATTTACTATGATGTTAAGCAAGTGACTTTTTATTTTATTTATTTATTTGAGAGACAGGGAGCAAGAGAGAGTGATCACAAGCAGGGGGAGGGATAATGGGAGAGGGAGAAGCAGAGGGAGCAGACCCCCCGCTGAGCAGGGAGCCCTACAAGGGGCTCCATCCCAGGACTCTGGTATTATGACTTGAGCCAAAAGGAGATGCTTAACTGACTGGGCCACCCAGGCGTCCCCACTTAACCTCTTTTGTGCCTGTGTTTCCCAAACTCTGAGGATAATATGAATATTTACTCTTAGAATAGTTTTTATTTTTAAACTTTTTTTAAGAATAGTTTTTAAAATTAAATGAGATAGAGGTCACTTAATGAGACTCTTAATGATAAGAGAACAAACGGTAGATAGAGGGAAGGTGAGAGGGGAATGGACTAGATGGGTGATGGGGATAAGGAAGGCACAAGTTATGATGAGCACTGGGTGTTTGTATGTGATGAATCACTCAATTCTCCTGAAACCAGTATTGCCCTGTATGTTAACTAACTAGAATTTAAACAAAAATTTGAAAAGAAATAAGAAAAGAAAATCCGAAAGAACAATACAGTTAAAGCAAAGTCTGTATTTACTCAAAAACAAAAACAAAAACAAACCCATGTATTAAGTGGACCACACAGTTCAAACCCATGTTGGCCAAGGGTCAACTGGAATACTGGAAATCCTAGCCAGACCAATCGCACAAGAAAAATAAATAAATAAAAGACATCCAAATTGGAAAGGAAGAAGTAAAGGTCACTATTTTCAGATGACGTATTACATGTAGAAAACCCTAAAGACAACACCAAAAAACTATTAAAATAAATGAATTCAGTAAAGTTGCAGGATAAAAAGTACATAAAAATTTGTTGCATTTTTATACACTGATAAGAAACTATCAGAAAAACAAATTAAAAAAAAATCACATTCCCAACTGCATCAAAAAACCCAAGATACTTAGAGATAAAATTTAACCAAGGAGGTGAAAGCCTATATACTGAAAACTACAAGACATTAAGGAAAGAAACTGAAGATAACACAAGTAAATGGAAAGACATTCTATGCTCAAGGATTAGAATAATTCATAATGTTAAACTGTCTATACTACTCAAAGCCATCTAGAGATTCAATGCACTTTCTATCAAAATTCCAATGACCAAAAAAAAAAAAAAAATTCCAATGACATTTTTCACTAACATAAGACAGAGAATCTTTAAAGTTTGTATGGAACCACAAAAGACTGAACAGCCAAAGCAATCTTAAGAAAGAACAAAGCTGGAGGCATCATGCCCCCAGATTTCAAACTCTATTACAAAGCTATAGTGATTGCTGGCATACTGGCTTAACAATAGACACGCAGATCACCAGAACAGAAGAGAGAGTCAGAAGTAAACCCACACATCTATGGTCCAGCATCTTATGACAAAGGAGCCAAGAATATACAAAGGGAAAAGAACAATCTCTTTAATAAACATTGCTGGGATAACTGGGCAGCCACATGCGAAAGAATGAAACCGCACCACGTGTCTTACATTATACACAAAAATTATCTCAAAATGGATTAAAGACTTGAATATAAGACCTGAAACCATAAAACTCTTAGCATAAAACATAAGGGAAAAGCTGCTTGACGTGGGTCCTGGTAATGATTTTTTTGGATCACACTCCAAAAGCCAAGGCAACAAAAGCAAAAATAAATAAGTGAAACTACATCAAACCGAAAAGCTCCTGCCCAGCAAGGAAAATCGCCAAAAAAAGACACAGGCAACCTACCACCTCTGAGAAAAGATTTGTAAAGCATGTATCTTATAAAAGATTAATATCCAATATATATAAAGAACTCACACAACTCAATTAACAACAAAAAACAATGTGATTAAAAAGTGGAAACATTACCCAAATAGACATTATCCAGGGAAGACATAGAGAGAACCAACAGCTACGTGAAACGATGTTCAACATCATTAATCATCAGGGAAATGCAAATCAAAACAACAATGAGATATCACTTCACACTGGTTAGAAGGGTTAGTATCAAAAAGAGGAGAAATCACAGATGTTAGCAAGGATGCGGAAGAAAGGGAACCCTGGTGCAGGGTTGGTGGGGATGCAAGTAGGTGCAACCACTGTGGAAAACAATATGCAGGCTCCTTAAAAAATTAAAAATAGAACTACCCTATAATCCAGCAATTTCTCTTCTGGCCATTTATCCAAAGAAAACAAAAACACCTATTTGAAAAGATATATGAACCCCCATGTTCACTGCAGCATTATTTATAATAGCTAAGATATGAAGACAACCTACATGTCTATGGAGGGATGAATCGATAAAGAAGATGTGAGGGGCACCTGGGTGGCTCAGTGGGTTAAAGCCTCTGCCTTCGGCTCGGGTCATGATCTCAGGGTCCTGGGATCGAGCCCCGAATCGGGCTCTCTGCTCAGCAGAGAGCCTGCTTCCCTTCCTCTCTCTCCACCTGCCCCTCTGCCTACTTGCGAGCTCTGTCTGTCCAATAAATAAAAATCTTTAAAAAAAAAAAAAGAAGAAGAAGATGTGATTTATGAATATAAAGTGAAATACTATTCAGCCATAATAAAGAACAAAATCGGGCGCCTGGGTGGCTCAGTGGGTTAAAGCCTCTGCCTTCGGCTCAGGTCATGGTCTCAGGGTCCTGGGATCAAGCCCCGCATCGGGCTCTCTGCTCAGCGGGGAGCCTGCTTCCCCCTCTCTCTGCCTGCCTCTCTGCCTACTTGTGATCTCTCTCTGTCAAATAAAATAAAATAAAAAAAGAGAAAGAACAAAATCTTTCCATTTGCAACAACATGGATGGACCCTGAGGTCATGATGCTAAGTGAAATAAGTCAAAGACAAATAGTGTGTGACATCACTTTTATATGGCATCTAAAAAAAACTGAGCTTAAAGATACAGGGGGATGGGTGTTAAATGGGTGACAGGGATCCAAAGGTACAAACATACAGGGATTAAATAAGTAAGTCACAGGGTGTAATGTATAACATGGCGATTATAGTTAATAACACTGTATTGCAAACTCGGAAGTTGCTAAGAAAGTAATCTTTTTTTTTTTTTAGATTTTTTTTTATTTATTTATTTGAGAGAGAATGAGTGAGAGAGAACACGAGAGAGGAGGTCAGAAGGAGAAGCAGATTCCCCAAGGAGCTGGGAGCCCGATGCAGGACTCGATCCTGGAAGTCCAGGCCATGACCTGAGACGAAGGCAGTCGCCCAACCAACTGAGCCACCTAGGCGCCCCGCTAAGAAAGTAATCTTAAAAGTTATCATAAGAAGAAAGTTTTGTAAAACACAACTGTATTTAAACTGACAAGCCATACGCCATTGTTCAGGGGACTCAGAAAGTACACAGTACTGCAAAAATCTGTGCGGGAGGCTGCCCTCACGTTCCTCACAGAGGCTAAGGGAGAGCTTTGTAAACTGGTGAGTGCATGCACAGAACAGCATGTAAGGTGCTGGGCTCCTCTCTACTTACAGCACTGGGCACTGCATCACACTTTGGGATACAGGAAGAAGCAGGGAGTTACTGGGGATACTGAAGAAGCTGAGGAAGAATAACAATGCAGGGTGTATGGAAAGTGCCTTACAGGTTTTCCAAATCTGTGGGCATGTTCCATTACACAGATATCTATTAAGTTCCTACAAAGTTACTGCTGCTTTCTACTCAGGCTCAGTCGGCTGGGCAGCCAACTTCTTTAATTCTTTGTTAACCTCTGAGTCATCCCTGTCTCTTGACCCTAATTCTGGGGGAGAGGAGAACATAAAATTGGTCTAATTTCTCTTCGTTGGGATGGTCCTTCAGCTGCTGATCTGAATAACTAACAAATACTGTTACTTACTGCGTCCTTAAAGGACTGCACATGAATAAGGACAACAATAATAACAAAAATAGGTAACATTTATTCCTCTGTGTTAGGCACTGTTCTAAGCCATAAGGTGCACAGCAAAGCATGGAGGCATGAGGGATTGGGATAAGCCCTAATAATGGAGAGCTTTGTAGCACCGGTTCTGGAGCGCAGAGACAAGGACTTGAAATCTGGTTCCAAACATCTGTGTCTCTAAGACTCAGCCCTCTCAGGATCCTAGCTGACCGAGATACTCAAACTAGTAAAGTGTGTAAAATGCTTAAGCCAGTGGCAGGCACACAGCAGCTCCTCAATTAACTAATGATAATCAAGAGGATGGTAATCACGATGGTGTTCCTTCCCCAGCGCCAGCAATAATAATAACCAACTAGTATAATATTAATCCCATACGCTGGTACTACGCTTACCCCGCACCAGGCACCGTGGTTTATGCATTTACTTTCCAAATGGGTTACATTAACTAATTCACTAAAGCGTCAAAACAAGCCTATATAGGTACTGTTTTCAGGTTCGTCTCTCAGATGAAAAAAACTGAGACAGAGAGATTACATATCTTGCCCAAGGTCACGGAGATGGAAGTGCAATAAAAGGAACAACAACCTTTACTACAATTCAGTCTGTAATAAGCTGCTCCCTCCGTTAAATCTGCACAATAACCCTAAGGATTTGATGTTCTGCCCATTTTACAGATGCCGAGACTGAGGCTCGGTCCCAGGGCCCGGCCCGCACTCACCCGGCCTCCCGGATGCGACGAAGCACGACTCCGCAGTCCGCCTCAGGCTGGGCCTCCACGTCCCGCAGGGCCACCTCCCTGCTCCGCTGTCGCCGCTCCGCAGAGCGTCTTTTCCTTCGCGGAGCCGCAGCCTGCCAGGGTTCCAACGCCGCGGACGCCATGACCCTCTGACGTCACGGGCGCGCCTCCTGACGCCATCCACACGCGCCAGCGCTGGGAAAATCTAGGGGGCGGTAGGCGCTGGAGGCGCACAATCCTGAGGCTTCCCCACCGCGCGCCCGTAGGTAGGGTGGGGAGAGCAGCTGGCGCCGGGCTACCGCCCACACTGCGGGTCGGATCGCGGAGCCCGGGGCTGCCGGGCTACAGGGCTGGGTTGGGTGGATGGCCGGCGAGGGGATACCAAAGGGCGGGACCCTGGCCGATAGCGCCTCTCGGCGGCCCCTCCGCGCTGCCATTGGGCCCCGATTGACACCTGCGCCTTTGTCCACAAATACCCAGGCCACCCACGGAGCTGAGGCCAAACACTTCAGGTGCCTTTAGCCCGTTCCCCATCGCAGTGGTTACCGCCCGTTTTCCTGGCCGGCTGACTCACTGAGACCACTTCATACACCGCCACCTTCCTGCCTCCACGCCATTTCTGGCCACTTTTTGGCTCCCTCGGGTACTTAACTGCAACCCCTGGCTGCCGGAGCCTTCTCTGGTCATATCCCAGCACTTGCCCTACCCTGGGATGTTACTGGCCTTTTCTGGATCTTTCAGAGATAAGAGCATGGACCTTGGCAGTACAGGGCCCAGTCCTCTGGGAAGGAGGGATAGGGGGTTTCAGGCTGCTGTCCTCAAGATACATAAAGTTGAGAAAAGAGAGATTTCACAAGCCTCAAAGAGTCAGTGGGGTCCTCTCTAGGTACTTCTCTCTAGGAAAGGAGCTTTAAAAAGCTATTGTATTCCCAGGAGGATGACAGAAGGTGAGCATGCATTTGAAACCCTGTCTCTGGGACGTCAAGCTTGGACAAAATCATATTAGAAATACAGTTCTGGAGGGACCAAGGAGTGCTCTTGTGGAAAAATTAAACCCTGTTTTGTTTTCTTGGAGTGTTATCCAGATCAGCATGGGGAGGTTACGGGGATGCCAGTTTTCGATTGGTGGAGGGATAAAGTTAACACTATGAGCTGCTTCTGGCTCTGATGGGAATAAGCCAGAGACCAGGCAATCTTTGAAGAGTGCAAGAAATAAGTATTCGAGTAAATGATGCCAGGATCCCTTCTGACGGTGAAATCCCATGATACTTAATTGTCTGTTCTCTTGGAATTTGAAAGTCACTTGTTAAACTCCTGTTTAGTTTTGAAAACTTGCCCAGCTGTGGAATTCATATTCAGATCACTTTTGAGCTGTCAAGGTGACAGTTCCTTAATTTGGGTTCCATTATTACTGCAACAACTGCCTTATTTGTATAGCTGTCCTTGGCACACCGAGACTTTTCACACTAGCTCTTTAATTTTATCTTCTCTGAGGCAGAATCTTCTGTTCAAAGAGACTGAGCAACTTGTTTTGAAGTCCTGCAGCACTCTCTTCTTTGTTCTGAAAGACAATTTTTCAACTTTCTAGAAGACTCCTTGTGAAGTATACCATTTGCCTAACCCTGCTGGGTCACATGCTCTCTCATGGGTTTCTGAAATAATCCATTCCTTGTGGTTTATTTTAGGACCAAGGCACTGATGTTTGATCGGGAAGCTTTACAACATTGAATAGAATCTTCAGAATGGCTTTGAACTCGACAAGCTAGAAATCCCTTCAAAACACCACCTTCAGTATGCATCTCCCCCAGTGGGCTTTCCTGGCCAGGAACTTTTTGTAGAGGTTGTGCTGCAGAGCGCCAGAATGCTGATGCCCATGGAACCAGCTTAGTGGATTTGACTTTTCTGGTAGAATTCTCTTGCTGTATTATATAGAACTCTCTCCCAGAGTTCTAAGAAGTGTGGAGGTATTCATGGCACTGAAGAGTATGTGGGGAAGGAAGTAGCACTTTCATGCTGAATGAAAACGAAGTAGGTGATATTTGTGGCTGAAAACATTTAAACCTTTCACGTCTGCATTTCCTGGATCGGGGACACAGAGGAACAGTTGCTGCTGGGGCACAAGAAGCGATCCCAGACAAGAAAACCCAAATAAATAGAATGAGGGCAACAGGCAAGTAAATGGCCACCACTACCTCAACAGAGCCGACATCAGCCTCCTGGTGAGTAGAAAGGCCTGTGTGGTTGACTTCCTGCCAGGCTGCTGGACCCATGTTTTGGATTAACAGAAAATCCCCAGCCAGGCTGTCTTGATTTCATTAAGGGGGGTGGAGGGTGGGGAAAGGCATTTTTTTTCTCCAAGCAGGCAGATCCAGCATGTGAGCATTTCTCTCCAGAGCTGCCGGGTTGTGACCTTGCAGTGCTAGAGCGAGTTGAGCATGGCTGGTAGACCAGAAAAGATGGCCATGGCTGGTTAATGCAGCCGGTTTTGATGACGGTGTGGGTGCTGTGGACTTCATCGGTAAGAGATAAGAAATGGCTACAGTGTGGAGCCTCACCACTAGAAGAGGTTTGGCCAGTCCGTCTCTTACATAATGTCTTCCTGAAACTTAGTTCCCTTCTCAACCCCAGCTGGGTTAAGTGTCTCTTGTCAATTGCTTCAGCAAACATTCATTAAGGAATGAAAGCCAAAGGCATGGTTTAAATAGAATGAGCAGGACTCGGTGAGGGTTGGTTATGTGTGTGGAAGGCACAAAGAGGGAGTAATTCAAAATGACACCCCGGTTTTCTTTTGTGTGCCTGAGCAAGGATGCTTTCACCCAGAAAATGTAAGAAGCAGGTAAACGGGGCCCAGCCGTGGAGTTTCTGAATGGGGTTTGACACATTTTTGAGGCTTTTTGATCTGGACTTGTCCTGCACTAGAAACAGAGTTCTCACTGGTCATCCGGAAGAGAAGGTGGGAGCCAGGCAGGGTGGTAGGGGGAGGGTGTAGATCCAGGAAGAAGAAGGAGGGTGACAGAGTGGTCACAGCTCTTCCTTCTTAACACTCTAGCCTGATGGGTGTGCTTTTGGAGAGGTAAAACCCAGGCCTGGCCTTTGGGGAGTCTGCTTTGTGGTCTTAAACAAGTTAATTGTGGCTTCGCTGTAGAGTAGACTAAGAGTCCTTTGCGAAGAATGGAGGGTTATAGAAATTGAGAAGAGAGATGCCTTTGAATGGAGGAAATCAGAAGGGTCTTGTCAGAGTTCCTCTTAACATAGTGTTAGGGTTTTGCCAGGCAGAGAGGGGTTCAGGGCTCTGCTGTGAACTCTCGTGAGCCCCATTTTCCCATCATAGACTCCCTATCCTACACTGAAACTGTATGTTTACTGTCTCCCTTTGACCACCACAGCCCCAGGTCTGGCAGAGGGAGAGCACACTGTCGGGCCTCATTTACTGTTTGTTAAATGAACGCATGAATTTCTGGCCCAAGGGATATTTCCGGAGGTCATCGTGCCCACCAGCTGTGAAGGCAGGCAGCAAAGACACCCAACCCCTGTTTTATTATCAGAGCCTTTAGAGACAGCGTACCAAACCCTGGTTGTATGGTTAAGGGTCTGTGTCCCAAACAAGAGAGGGCCCTGGGTGATCTGTCTCCTCCATCTACTCTTCAGTCTTTTTGGCCAAACGGCCTGACAGCTGGATAGAGGCATATTTTTAGTTTGAATGGATGGCCCCTGTGAAATGGTTTTTCTTATCTGTTTGTAGCTGCTGGGTTCTTTCTCCTCTGGTGCCACCGGAAGGGTTCTCAAATACAGAGTAATGAGCCCATCTTGCGCTGGGAAAGAGGAAACTGTGTTTTAAAATGCCTTGATCCCTGGATGAAAGGAAACATGGCTCTGTTCTATTCTCTTGCCAGGTGGAATTATTTCTTCCTGTATGATGGTTCAAAGGTAAAGGAAGAAGGAGATCCGACAAGAGCTGGCATTTGTTATTTCTACCCTCCTCAGGTAAGCACCCCAGCGGGTTACTCCCTGGGGAGTTGGGGGTGGGATCCTACTGCCGCAGAGTGGAGGCTTTGCAAAAGTATAGCATTGACAGTGGGCCAGTGTTCTTCACATAACCCAGGCTTTGACATTTCTACTCTCTTTTCCTTAGTTGTACTATTTCTTGCTGTTCTGGTCTTGAAAGTCCCAGACAGCTCACCCCTTCCATCCTCTCTAGCTCTCTGCCACTATCCTGATTTTCTTTCCGCCTCCCCTTGCTCCCAGGTTTTGATCAGCTCCTTGGAAATGCTTTTTAAAATTTTTAAATTTTTTAAATTAATGTTTTTTTGAAGCACTTTTTTAAAGAAGAGATTTATTTATTGGAGAGAGCGAGAGAGAGAGAGTGTGTGTGTGTGTGTGCTGGGGGAAGGGCAGAGAGCAAGAGAGAGAATCTCAAGCAGACTCTCTGGTGAGCTTAGAGCCCAGGTCAGGGCTCTGTCCCACAATCCTGAGATCCTGACCTGAGCTGAAACCAAGAGTCAGATGCTCAACTGACTTCAGCCACCCAATAATAAATAAAATTGTTTTATAATAAACCCTTAAAACAATTTTATTCAAATGTCTGCAAAAGCAGAGAGGAGAGTATTGCGAACCCTCACGAACCCATTAATTAGTAACAGTAATTCCTTAATATCATGTTATACTATCTGTATTCAAATTTTGCCTTCCTATCTTAGAGATTACTTAATCAGACCTTGCTCCTTCCGTTCCTCCCGCCCTCCCTCCTTACCTCCCCCCTCCACTTGCTAGTCAGGATCCAAACAAATGCTACACATTCCATTTGCTTCTTTTCTTCAGTTTCTTTTGTCACACACCACTCCTCACCCTCCCCTCAGCCCCTTTCCCCAGCGCCCCTCTGAATTACCAAAGTCCGCGCCTTTGTGCAGCAGAATATCAGAAGGCCTCACGCTCTGGATGGACCTGGTCACTTCCTCAAGGCAGTGTCATTTCAGCTCTATCCCTGTCGTTCCTTCACACCAGTAGTACGATCTAGAGCCTTGATTAAGTTCAAGTCCGGTTCTTTTAAGCAAGACTTCCTCCTCGGGGCGTGTACATTTTCTGTTGCACGACACGATGTGTGGCTGCCCTGCGGGGTGGTCAAGGCTCAGACTGATCGGGAGGTCTAGGTATTTGCTCACTTGACTTCCCTCCCAGTTGGGTAGTTGGGGTAAATCTAGGCCGCTCTACAGGGGATCTGAATAGGGACCAACGGCTCCTGCTTCTACCCACACAGGGGCCTCTAGTCCTAGGAACGAAAACCTAGTTCCGCACAGACCTCGTGTGCACGTGGCTGTGGACGTTCCGTGGCAGTTCTGACCTTCCGAGCAGGGGCCGCAGATTCTGTCCTGTCCGACAAGGGCCCAGGAGTGAATATTGAGGCCTTGCAGGACATGGAAGGTCAACATCACATGTCCTTCTTTGTTGTTGCTACTGCCCTTAAATACAAAATCAACACTTAGCTCCCTGTCCATCTGCAACCAGGCGGCAGACCGGATCTGGCCTGCCGGCTGCAGTCTGCTGTGGCCTCAGCCCCCTGTTCAGAGGGATGCCTTATGAATTCGACAGTTTCGGCTCACCTCCCTGGACTTTGCCTCTTCCCCACAGACCCTGCTCGACCAGCAGGAGTTGCTCTGTGGACAGATTGCGGGTGTCGTGCGCTGTGTCTCGGACATATCCTCCTCTGCCCCGACCCTCGTCCGTCTGCGGAAGCTGAAGTTTGCCATAAAGGTGGACGGAGAGTACCTTTGGGTAAGTTGATGGGACAGAACCTATGCTGCCAGGGTCGCCTCTACTGTGAGTCATCTGTCTTGGTCATGAGTGCTGTGTTGCCAAGGTGCTCTGGAGCCTGGGACACCGCCCCCCCCCACCCCGCCGCACCCCTAGGGGCCACATGCCGTACTGTCCACGCTTCCTTGGTTCCTCTCTGCAGGTGCCACCATTACCGATTGCTCTCCAGAACATTCCTAACCTGTCCCGCATTGCACATGGCTGCTTTCTCACTGCTTTTGAGAGATTTCAGCCAGCCTGAGGAAATTCTCTCTGCTCTGTGATGCAGGTCAAATTTTCAACCTCTGTCTTTTCTCCTCTGTATTCTCCACGCTTACAGGGCAGTGACCCAGAAACTCGCAGATATTGATATATAGATGTTAGGTTTCAAAGAACCATTAAAAAAAAAATTAAAAAACCATTTCTTGACATCTGATGGTACCATATACACTAGGGTCTTCTTGTCCCATGCCTACACTTATTTAAAACTGATTTGGGAGGGGAAAGAATGCTTAAGTGTGAAGTGGCATATTCAGCTCTGTGGGTATGCCTGCTAACATTTTACGATGACCTTTTTTTCTCATATCAAACCGTTGAAGGAATTTTACAGTACACTCACATAGACTTCCTAGGTTCTGCAGTTACCATTTTATTACATATATTACTTATTATAGTCACTTTATCACATTTCCCCACCCAGCCCTTCATCTTCGGCGCTCGCCAAAATTACGCACACTAGTATACGCCCCCTCCCCACCCCCAGTACCGCAGGGTGCATAACATTAATTAGAGTTCAGTAGTGGTTTGTGCTTTTTTTTTTCTCTTGGGGTAAGAGTTACATACACTGAAACACAAATCTTGAGCATACCATTTAATGCATATGGACAAATGACACTCCGTGCGACACAGAGCCCCATTGAGATGCTGAATATTAGTATCACTCTGGGCAGCTCCCCGATGTCCCATTAATTCTCACCCTTGAGACCCAGGCAGCCATCGTTCTGATTTTTTCCCACACGCAGATGAGTTTTGCCTGTTCTAGAAGTCACAGTATGTGTAGTGTTCCTCTCCGCGGGCTTCTGTCATGCGTGTGACCTCATGGAGCATGTATCCGCAGGTCGTTCCTTTTCATTGTTCGGCAGCACCGTCTGAATGTCCATTGTCTGGACCTAGCAGTCTACTGACTTACCTATTTCTGGGTCCATGACCCGTGTCTAGTTAAGAGCAGTTAAGAATAAGGCCCCTAGGAGCATTCCTAGATGAGTCTTGTTGTGGATATGACTTTTCATTTCTTGTGGGTAAATAGCTAGGTATAGATTTGCGAGGTTACAGGGTGGGTGTATGTTCATTTTATAAGAAACTGCCAGACCTTTTCCCAAAGTGGTTGTACCATTTTGCACTCCTACCAGCCATGTGTGAGAATTCTAGTTCTTCCACGTCCTTGTCAACACATGCTGTCCGTCTGTTCAGTTGGAGCCGTTCTGCTGGGCGTGTAGTGATACCGCACTGTGGTTTGCATTTTCATTTCCCTAATGACTAAGGATATCAATGGCCACTGGTCTCTCTTCTAGAAGTGTCTGTCCAAAGATTTTCTGCCCATTTTTAAAATTAGGTTTTCTTTCTTTACTTAGTCTTGTGAGTTCTTTCTATATCCTGGATGTCAACTATTTCTCAGATATATATTTTAATTTTTTTTAATGATTTTGTTTATTCATTTGAGAGAGACAGAAACAGAGAGAGCACAAGCAGGGGGAGAGGCAGAGGGAGAGGGAGAAGCAGACTCCCTGCTGAGCTGGGAGCCCAACATGGGGCTTGATCCCAGGACCTGGACAGCATGACCTGAGCCAAAGGCAAATGCTTAACCATCTAAGCCACCCAGGTGCCCTTGTCAGATATATATTTTAAAGGTATTTTCTCCCAGTTTGTGGCATGCCTGTTTTCTTAATGATGTCTTTTAATGAATAGAATGTCTTAATTTTTTTCTAAGTTTACTTATTTATTTACTTAAGTAATCTCTACACCCTACGTGGGGCTCAAACTCATGACCTGGAGATCAAGAGTTGCGTTCACCCCCAGAATTTTTTATTTTTAATGAAATCTAACTTGCCAGTTTTATCCTTCACAGTTACTGCCCTCTGTATGCTGTCTGAAACCATTCCCTACCCTGTTGGAGAAGACATTCTCCCATTTTTTGGGCAAGCTTTATAGTTTTAGCTTTTAAACTTAGGTCTGTAACCCAGCTTGGATTAAAATTTATGCTTGATTTGAAATAAAGGTCAAAGGTCCTCTTTTTCCCTATGGATATCCAGTGGCTCCAGCATCATGGTTGAGAAAACTTTCCCACTTGGATTCCTTTAGCTCCTTTGCTGATGATCAGGTGACCATTGCAGTAGGGGGTCTGTTTCTGGGCTCCCTTCTTTTCTGTCGATCTCTTGGAAGATCCCATATAAGTCCTCACTGTCTTGAAACCAGATCGTCTAAGTCCCCCAGCTTTGTGCTCTTCCGAGACAACTTTGGATATTTTAGGTCCTTTGTAAGTCTCTCTTGTAGAGTCAGTGTGTCCGTTTCTGAGGAAACGCTGCCAGATTATGGTCAGAGTTACATTCAGTCTACAGATTAATCAGGGGAGAGGTGAGCCCTGACCATGTGCCAGTTATAAACCCTTGGATTACATCAGTGAACAAAACAGAGATCTTGGTCCTGGTGGAACTTCCATTCCGAGGGAATTTATTTCTTTGTTTTCTGCCAGGGTTTCTTTGTTGCTTTAAGCTTCTGGCGATTCCCTCAGGAAAGGTTCCTAGAGGTGGAATCACGGAGTCAAAGAAAACAGACTTTATTCAGGCTCTTAAAACATACAGCCAGATTCCTTGCAGACTGAGCACATGTTTCTCTTCTGTGGAACTCAGCCCCACAAAAGCGTTCCAAGGCTCTAGAATGGTGTGATGATTCAGCCGGTTCCCTTCTCGAAGCTTCCAGGCTTGGACTCCAACCAAAGGAAAATGCCCATCTTCTGGTTTCCCTCTTTCCAGGTCCTGGGCTGTGCCGTGGAGCTCCCTGACATTAGCTGCAAACAGTTTCTGGATCAGCTTATTGGAGTCTTCAACTTTTACAATGGACCTGTTTCTCTGGCTTACAAGGTACGGAGATAGTGGTGAGGAGTCTTGAGCAAACCCCATGTTGCCAGAACACAGCATGATTCTATGAGCTGTTGTAATGCTTGGCGTAATACAGCATGTCCAGCAACAAGATCAAGGGGCCTTGAAGCCCCTCTCAGATGCCTTTGTTCCCCAGTGGTGTAGGTCACGTCCGTTGCAAATGTCTGTTCCCATGTCCTCCTCCCTGGGACTGTTGGAAAAGCAGGTTACCTCTGGCCCCAGCACGTGCGCTGGGTCTGTGGTGGCTGAGTTCTCAGGGGGGGCAGGGGGTGGGGGTCTTGTGTACATAGGAGGCTTAAAGTAGGCCCTGTCTTCTGGCCAGTGTCCCGGGTGAGGAACGAGTTTTGTAGGCATAGGGAACCTGGCCAAGGGGTGTGTCTCACGGGATCTCAGACGCTGACATCAGGCGGTTCCCGTTTTAGAACCACACTCAGGAAGACCTACGTGCTGAATGGGACACCTTCATTGAACAGATTCTGAGGAACACCAGCGATCTGCACAAGATATTCTGTTCCCTCTGGAACCTGGACCAGACTCAGGTAACACCCTCATCCCCCGTACGTCTTCCAGGTAGAGGAGTAGAGCCCTCTTGCCTGACCCACAGACTGCTGTCACAGAGCCCACAACTGTTTACATGGTGCTTAACATGGCATGAAGTCAATAGTCCGTAGAGGGTAGTGTTATTTCGTTAGTGTCCCAGGAGTGTGGAACTCGGGCATCTGAAGGTCCCTGTCTCTCTTCATAAGGATATTCCACGATTGCCTTGTGTTCTCAACATCAAAAATGCCCGGTGGTAACATTTGAAAAACAAGGTCTTTCTGTGTTCTGGAGAGAGTGCTTGGGAGCGTTTTGTTGCAGAGCCGTTCCATAGGCCACTGGCATTCAGTGATGTGTAGACTGCTTGTGTGGCTGGTCTGACCCCCCACACTGCCTGTTGCTCAGTGGCCTTGATCTTGGTGAACAGCACATCGTCATTGTCAAGGGCCAAAGAGAGATGCCAGGCTGTGCCCCCTTAAGAACCGACTGCCTGTGCCCCCAGCACCCCAGGAGATGCGTGGGCCGCATCTCACTGCAGTAGCTAAGAGGGTCCTCTCAACAGGGATGTGGCGTCGTGACTCTGCCTTCACAGAGCCCGACTCCGGCTAGAAATGGGGGCGGGTTTTCCTGGCTCCTGTTGGGAAAGTGTTCGAAGTGGGCCCCAGAGCCCCACAGAATGGCTGGCTGGGACCGGGCACTGTCTCGAGGATGTGAGAGAGGAGCGTCAGCTCCAAAGCTGGCTCCGCTGGCACAGAGCTCTGACGGTGATGGTGCAAGTTCTGGCTGCTGCAGCAAATAAGAAGGAGGCTCCTGGCAACTCTTGACCAGGTCCAGATCCTTCTCTGGTATTTTTAGGAACTTGTAGGTAACAGACTCCTTACAAGGATCTTGGAGCAGAGGAATCTTTCTCTGAGTGAGAGACCATGATGTTTTCATTTGCCGTTAAGGGAGAGTCATGAGGTCACACGAAGTGTGCTCTATGGCAGTGGGGTTTAGGCTTCAGACAGAGGGGAGCGGCGGACGGGGGGAGGGTTGTGTTTGAGGGATAGGCTCTCCTGTCCTCTGCCTCCTGGTCTCAGCATCGAGTCAGGGTCTCCTGAGCGGAGACCTACCTTTCTCCCTGTGAGTGGCCATGTGCCCTGTTTGCCGTACCTTCCTGCATCGGCAGAAGCCGCCCCATTCCAAGAACTTGGCATTTTGCATCTTCCACAGCTCTGGGCGGAAAGAGGTGGAATGCAGACCCAAGACGTGACACAGATCTTACCACATGTCACCTTCTGCTTTTCCCCCGTTTTGGCTTAGGACCTGCGCCTCTGTTCCATAAAGGCCCCCTCACCCCCACGCCTTTCCACCTTGGCTGATGGCAAGTATGCTCACTCGGGGCTGTGCTTCTCCCCTCGCACAGGTGGAGCCCCTGTTGTTGCTGAAGGCGGCGCTCATCCTGCAGACCTGTCAGCGCTCACCTCACATTCTCGCCGGCTGCGTCCTCTATAAGGGACTGTGAGTGATGCCAGAGCCCTCTCCTGCACCCCGTGCCCCTGCTGCAGGACTCTCCCAGCCACCTCCAGGTCACAGCGCAGGGTGGGAAGGGGAAGCTCTGTCTCTGGCCAGTTCCAAGAGGGCTATTTTGGCAAACAGCAGGTAGTTTCAGTTGGACCTAGGGGGCATACATGCGTTTTAGCAGAGCCGGGAAATGGGCAGTTGTGTTCAGAAGAGGGTTAGGAATATAAAAGGCAGCTGTAGAGAGACCCACGGAAGTCTCAGCATGGGGTACCCCTGGGTGGCCAGCGGCAGCGCTGTAGGCAAAGGGGTGTGGACGCCTGCCGTGCGTGCCCCCCTCCTACTGCACTTGCTGCAGCCAGCCTTGCCTAGCAGCAGAACGGCCGTACCTGCTTCTGCTCAGGCTCCTGCTGGCCTACCGGCTGGGTCTGTCTCTTGCTTGCCTCTGAGGTCTCAGCACACCTCTTTGTGTAGTTGGAGGGCATCGGAAAAGCCTCTCCGTGCATGGTTCAAGGCGGCGCTCCTCATGGGGTCTGCTTACTGCTTGTGTCCAGAGCTTTCTGACAACTAGATGAATGTGTGATTGGAGAAATTCTGGGGGCCTGATGGCTGGGTTTTCAGTCCTGGCCTCACTTTCCCGGCCCTGTGACCCCGGGCAGGTTGCTTGCTGAGTTTTCTCTACCAGGAAAGAATGAAATGAGAGGGCAGACCTAGAAGGACCTAGCCCAGGTCCTGCTTCCCAGTGGCCCTTGGCACAGTGCACCATCATTCCTTTCCCCTTTGCTCACGATGATGGTTCTGAACCTGCTGGTGGTGCCTCCAGGCTCACTGGTGGCATGGCTTCAAGCATATTTTCCTCATGTCACATTCCTTACATAGTTGTTGTTTTTTTAAAGATTTTATTTATTTATTTGACAGAGATCACAAGTAGGCAAGAAGGAAGCAGGCTTCTTGCTGAGCAGAGAGTCTGATGCGGGGCTCCATCCCAGGACCCTGGGATCATAACCTGAGCCGAAGGCAGAGGCTTTAACCCACTGAGCCACCCAGGCGCCCCTCCTTACATAGTTTTAAATCATACACCTAACATGAACAGAGCCTCCTCATGGGGAAAAAGAAAAGAATCAAGACAGAAACACACGGAGCACAGTTTCCAAGTTTTTCTGAGTGCAGAGCCCCGTCAGCAGGTGGATGGGCGTCCTCTCTTTTCCCGGTGTTTCCAGCACATCAGCAGACATAGCTTCTGTTTATTTTTGCCACATCCATAAATGGGATCCTAGGGCTCCTCAGTGTGTCGCACAGAGATTTCTCTATCAGCCCATGCTGGTCTACTTCATTCTTAGAATCACCACACACCTTTGGTGTTATAGCTGTGCCATGATTTCCTCAACTACTCTCTAGTTGATGGACATTTAGCGATTTCCCCATTTTTGTAGTAATTTTGCCATTTTTTCTATAGTCAGTATTCTTCATCATGCATCTTGGTTCAAGGCAGGTCAGAGGATTTGGACATTTTGAAGTTCAGTAGGAATGGCCAGAGTACCCTTCATAAAGGGCTTTGCCAGTTGAAACTCCCCAAGATCTTTTTTTTTTTTTTTTTAATATTCTATTTATTTATTTGAGAGGGAGAACTGAGCAGGGAACGTGACATGGGGTTCAGTCCCAGGACCCTGTGGTCATGACCTGAACTGGAGGCAGATGCTCAACTGCCCGAGCCACCCAGGCACCTTCCCCTACCCCACAAGATCCTCACCAGTTAGGGTGTTAGAATCTTTCCAATCCAGAGTCCTGTGATGTATTTTGTCTCACGACGTATTTGTTCCTGTGACCTAGGATTGTCAGCACCCAGCTCCCATCCTCCCTCACGGCCAAGGTCCTGATTCAGCCAGCTGCATCTCAGAACCAGGTATTGGAAAGACCCCTTCCCCTGCTGGGATGCTTTGTCCAGAGTGTCTGTTTTTAAGCCAAAAAAATAGAATTTTATATAATGTGATCTCAGAGTATTTTAAAAAATGCATAAGCGTAAAGGAAAATAGGCCTCAGGTTAACAGTATTAGCTTGTGGGTAAAGGGATTATATGTGATTTGTGGGGGAGAGGAGGGAATTATATAGAGTAAAATTATATAACTTAAAATACGAGTTTTTTAAAAGGCCACTAAAAAAAGAAAGGAAGCCGCATTGTTTCATAGGAGTGAAAGCCATGATGGCTAGAGCAGTCTTTGGTTTTTGTTTTGTTTTTCTGGGTTATTTTGGAACCTCTGTTTGAACTGTCTGGGAAGCTCTTTTGAGAAAATCAGTAATTTGGGAGAAAATTAGGATGGTCACCTCGACTGTGAAGTGGAATAAGCCCGAGAGCTCTCGCATAGCCTTTGGTTTAGGTCAGATCCTTTATCGCAAGGGTCACGGGGCATTCATGCATCCTGGTACAAGGCAGGTCAGAGGATTTGGACATTTTGAAGTTCAGTAGGAATGGCCAGAGTACCCTTCATAAAGGGCTTTGCCAGTTGAAACTCCCCAAGTTCTTTTTTTTTTTTCCTTAATATTCTATTTATTTATTTGAGAGGGAGAACGGAGCAGGGAACGTGACATGGGGTTCACATAAATCTGTCGCGGCAGAATGTGTGTGCGTTCCACGCCAGAGCTGGGGCAGTTGCGGGGATAAGGTGACAGATGCGTTCTCCGGAGGCGTAAAAGGGTAATAGGAATCCTCACTTTCCTTCCCAGAGGAGGGAAACAGCAATCAGAGCGTGAAGCCTGATGCACATTTGGGGGGGTGGGTGGCTGCTGCCTGTGCAGAACGCAGGTTCTCGCCTGACCCCGGCCGTGGTGGTGAGCAAGCAGCTTGAGGCAGCTTCTGTTCCATCTGCTTGGCTGCTGGCATGCGGTGGGGGCCAGCACGCTGGGCCTGGCTGCGTTTCACGAACAGATGGCACAGCGCAGTCCTGATGATCGGGTCGGGAGGAGAAAGCGGTCCCCGGCGCCAACTTCTGTGTGTGTTTATTTGCAGAGAAGACCTGCAGGAGGGGGCGGCCCACAGGAACGGGGTGAGTGGCAAGGTGTCTCACTACATCTTGAGAACGGGGTCTTCTGTGCTGCCTGTCCCCTACACAAGTCACAGGAGAGGCCACGCAGTCCCATGGGTTAGCTCATCTGTTCATAGATTGGAAGAACAGACGAGAACTTTAAGGACGAAGTTAGCCGTCCTAGAATCCTGATCGTAAGGCTCATGATTTTAGGCGTACCTTTTAAATCCCTGTTTTCAGATGCTCCCTCATTCATTGTTACGATCCTGGTTAGGAGGGACTAAGATAAATGGCAGCGGCCACAAAGTCTTTCTGCGGGATGTGGAGGTGTCCCCGAGAGGGTTACTTTGTTTTATTTTGAAGCCCAAGTTAGGGAAGATCCCTATTGTCAGTTGGAAGTGCTTTCTTACAGCTTTGATCTGTTTTTTTGTTTTTTGTTTTTGTTTTTTTTAAGTGCTGCTAGATTTTCTTCCCCCCAAAGTCACCTTTCTCCACAGCAAGAAGTAAAGCTGCCCATGAGGGGTCCTTCCTCGCTGGGCACGAAAACTGTAGCTGCAGTTTTGTGTATTTTGTTCTGGGCTGAGGAGTGTGTCAGAGCGCTGCTCTCTGAGTTGGCGTCGGGTTGGCTACATCCCCCCAAGAGTGGTGACTCCCCTTCCATCTTCTCTGGCCCAGAGCTGAGCCCTATCTGTGTTGCTTTGTGATTCTAGGAGCAGCACTCCCCCCAAATGTCCAGATCATGCCTGTGTTCCTGACCAAAGAGGAGGCCACCAGTCTCCATGAATTCCCGAGGGAGCAGTCAGCCAGGTACCAGAGCAGCCGGGGTTCCTCATGGACTGTAATGGAGGGACTCCCTCCCATGGGTGTGTCCACACAAGCCCCCAGACAGCCCAGCCTTCCATATGCCATCTTCTCCACGCTCTGCCATGACAGGGACATCTGGGACTTGAGCATGTAGATAACAGGTGGCTGGTATCGTGACATGGGTGTGGGTTTCAGGTTCCAGATCTGTGGCACATCAGCTGTGTGACCTTGGGCAAGTCCATTCCCTGCCAGAGCCTTAGGGTTTTCATCTGTAAAAGAGACCCCATGATAAACCTACTTCATGGGCTCAGTGTCACAGTTAGAAATAGTATACGTACAGCCTCCAGTCCAGGGCCTAACTCAGAGCGGACTTGCACATGGGGGAGGCCGTCTCTCACACTCTGGGCCCTGCTGTCTCCAGCAGGTGATCTGGTAGCACCGTGTGAAGCTCTGAGGGCCAGACGGTGCCTTCCTTTTACTCCTGTGGTTTGACCACCAAGGCGTCTTCGGCTCTGTGGCCTCCGGTACCCACTTGTCACCAGTGGCCCCGCTTTTTATGGAAGCAGTGCTTTAGTATTCTCCGGGGAAGGGCACCTGCCTTGTGTTTGGCCAGGCGCCCCTCCTTCATGTCTGCCTTGTTGCCAGCCCTGCTGTAGCACCAGCCAGACTCCAGGAGCGCCCAGCCCGGCAGCCTCCACGCCCTCAGAGCACCGTTGCCCCGACAGACAAGACCACTGACCACATGGAAGCCATGGCCTGGATGCTGGCAGCCATTCCTGAGTCTGCTGCGTGTCCTGATGGAGCCTGGCCAGATGGCAGGGGGCAGAACGGGCACTTGCCTGGCCATGATCTGGAGGAGGTCAGGCCTGCAAACCTGCACAGCCCTATCAGGGACGAGGATCCCGGTCTTGGCTGCTCCCTGGCAAAGGAATTTCATCTTACCTGTGGGGAGGAGGAACCAGACTTGTCTGCCATCCACATTCCAGAAGCTCAGGAAACAGGAGCATGCTCGGGTTATTTTGCCCTCCCAAGTATGGGTGCCCCAGACGGTGGTGGTCCTTGCTTTGAGGAATTTGTCAGCATCTCTGGCGACCGGGAACCAGAGCCACCTGACACCCTGCCTGTGGTCATGGCCTCCAGCAGCCTCCTCCCTCCGTCTACTCCTGAGATGCTCAGCCAGAACGGAGCCCTGAAACAGCACGATGACCTCCCAGAGGACAGCAGCCAAGCCCCCTTTCCCAGGGAAGACCACCTGTCCAGAAGGACGAGCAGGCCTCGGTCTTGGCCTTGCTCAGACTTGAGGCAGAGAGGAACCATGCTGCCCATGAGGGGACAGGGCCTGGAGTGTGTTGGGGTTCACGACAGCTGCTCAGCACCCAGCAGCTCAGACTTGGCAGAGTCTCAGGATGACAGCAGTTCCCCTGCAGACAGAAGTGACCCCAGGCCGACCCCAGCATCCTGTATGGGCCTCGTGCCAACGACGCTCTACACCCACAGTGTTAACGGGCTGGTGCTGTCCCTGCTGGCCGAGGAGCCGCTGCTGGGCGACGATGCCGCCATCGAGGAGGTGGTAAGTGTGTGCAGACCTGCCTCCCGGGAGCGGGGACAGGCGTGCGGGGGCCCCCCTTGTAGCACTGCGTAGGGCTGTGAGACCTCGTGGGTCATCCCCACCTGCTGTACACGGTGGGGATGACGGTGGTGCCTACACCCCGGGTTTGGCAGGGGTGAGTGAGTCCAGCGCAGAGCACAGTGCTGGGGGCAGAGGCGTCCCACAAGCTCAGTCCCCTGACCCTTCCCCACTTCCGTTTTCCCGGAGTGCAGGGCGGGATGTTCTGGCTCCCCCTTGGCAGGGTCGGGGTGCTGGCCGGCCCTGCCCTTCAGGTGCAGTGCACGCACGATCATACAGGTAAAGACGGGGAGCACGGCCAGGGTCGTGCCGCCACCCCTGCCACCACCGCTGGTGGCCTCCCCTCCCAGCCTGGGCAGCTGTAGGTCCTGTGTCAGCTGGAGTCTGGGTGGGGACTATTCCAGAAGGCTGTGCTTTCCCTCCACTGAACTGAGGTGATCTGAAGCTCCTTCCTAGCGGTCCTGAGACATCTGAAATGCTAACGGGCTCCAGAAGCCTCCTCTTTTTTTTTTTTTTTTTTTAAGATTTATTTATTTATTTGACGGAGAAAGAGAGATCACAAGTAGGCAGAGAGGCAGGCAGAGAGAGAGGGGGAAGCAGGCTCCCTGCTGGGCAGAGAGCCCGATGCGGGGCTCAATCCCAGGACCCTGAGATCATGACCCGAGCCCAAGGCAGAGGCTTAACCCACTGAGCCACCCAGGCGCCATCCAGAAGGCTCCTCTTAAATCATTCCAGCCTCTTCCACCCAGAGCAGTGAACTGACCTTCTCGGAGCCCACACTGGCACTAAGGCTCCAGTTGCTATAGTAACAGCCTCTTCGTTAGCCTGGAAGTGGGAGCAGGAAGAACAGCAACTTGAAACAGCTGCAGGGCAGATAGTGTCCTGGGGCTTGCCTTGTTTCTGTTCTTAAATCTGTATTATTCTAAGGCGGTGTTATTAGCATGCAGGGCTTGGTAAGCGAGCCAGTCCCCTTGGAGCACGGAGGAGGGAAGGCAGCTTCCTCTGTGCTGAGCCTGCTCCTCTCCAGGCCTGCTGGTTTATCTTCCCTTTCCATAGTCCACACGGCACCCGGTGGTGGTTGGGTTATTTCCTGCACCCTCTTCCACTGCAGCTGGGAGGGACTGACCCTCCCCCTTCCACCAGCACCCCAGGGCCCCTGGGTGCCGTGCTGGGTCTGTCGTCTCCCTGACGATACCTTGGTACCCGTGGCGTCTTCTGCTTGGTGCCAAGCTGCGGACAGGTTATTCTGAAGGCCCAGCATTTGGATGCCATGAAGTTGGATATGCTATCTTTATGTTCCCCGCCGCCCTCTCCCCCCCCCAAAAAAAGAAAAAAATAGCATAGGCTCCTCCTGAGGAAGGAAGAAAATTAAAATGTACTCTGAATTCAGTGGCTTCTAAGGCCTTGACATCTGCTATTTCAGCCAAGACTGAGAGCAGCACGGGGGGAGGCACTATAACTCCTGTTTTACCAGGAAGAAGACAAAGCGGAGGGTCCAGAATCCTGGCTTGTTCCCTGTCTCCCTGCCCCTGCCCGTCTGCTCCCCCACTGATCCAGACCCCTGGAGTGACCGGTCTTGGTTTGTCCCATAGGGCCCCTCCGTGTCAGGACAGCGGCCTCCATGGGCTTTCATACAAAGAAGGGTCTGGTGTGAGGTGGGCCTCAGGAAAGGGGTGCGGTGTAATGAAGAAGAAAAACTCTTTTCTAAAAAGAGTCGGGAGTAACTAGCTTTGATCAGCTTGCTGGTTTGAGAGCTGCCTTTATTGATCAGGCCCGAAGGCTGTCTGTTTTATAATTGGGAGAGCTCTTTTATTGCCTTCTTGTCCTGGAACTGCATACAAATGCTTGACCTGATTTCCCTCCAGACCTTTGGCTGCTGTCGAGAAAAGCAGGTCCGCTGCAGAATGGTAAACCACAGTTCTGATAGGACAGTAAGGCCCCCCCCGCACCCCACTTTGAAAGGGTTCCTTGATCATTTTACACACCATCAACCCATCTTTTTTAGTGAATGAACTGCCACCCCTTTTATGTTTGCTGAGGGTTGGGGCAGGGAGCTGGGTGGAAAGGGGTTGGGGGAGAGAGGGGAGCAGCCAGGAGAGGTTACCCATGGTTCCAAGAAAACCTGAGTGTGCTCACACCAGGGGGCAGCATAGAGCCACTGATTCTTTCCTGCTCAAAACCCAAGATAATCTCACTGACCTTCAAATCCAGGGATCAGATCAATTATTCACTGCTACAGTAGGACTTTTGAGCGGTTGGTATACAGCAGATGAGGCCTGAGGTTAGTGCCAGGGTATCAGTGTAAAATTCTTCATGAAAATGTACCCCTCCCCCGTGAAACTAGCACTTTGGGTGAAGGTATGTCGCTGTATCACTTCTTCCGCACGCTATGGCACACGCTGACATTCAAGCCACTTGCTTTACCGCTGACTAGAAGCTGAAGGAGCCAGGAATTAGCCCCAGCTTCGTGTCTCCTGGGGCTGTTGTGAGACATGTGTGCTAGTCTGTCTCAGGGCTTGGCAGACTTTTAATGTAAAGGAACACCTGGCGCGTGTTTTTCAGCTCTGTACAATTACCCGGCTCCACTGCTGTAGACAATATGTAGACAGACGTCGTGGCTGTGTTCCAGTCCCACGGTACCTATGGATCCAGAAATCGGAACTTCGCTTTCTTCTTTCTCAGCTTTTCTGTTCACCTCTATTTTGTGATTGTTTTACAGTTTATTTATTTTTAAAAGATTTTGTTTGTTCTTTGACAGAAGGAGACACAGTGAGAGAGGGAACACAGGCAGAGGGAGTGAGAGAGGGAGAAGCAGGCTTCTCGCAGAGCTGGGAGCCTGACACGGGGCTGGATCCCAAGACCCCGGGTTCATGACCTGAGCCAAAAGCAGACGCTTAACCGACTGAGCCACCCAGGCACCCCTGACTTTTCTACAATTTAAGAAAGCCTTAGAACATAAAGGTGGGAGGGGCACGGGTGGCTCAGTCAGTGAAGTGTCCGACTCTTGGTTTTGGCTCAGGTGGTGATCTCAGAGTTCTCACGTCTTGTGTGGGGCTCTGCACTGGATGTGGAGCCTGCTTAAGATTCTCTCTCCTGCCCTTCCACTCCCCATGTTCACGCGCTCTCTTCTCTCTCAAGTAAATCTTTAAAAAAAAAAAAAAAAGAAGAAGAAGAAGAAGAATATAGGGCGGGAATTAGTACTTCTCCAAAAACAGGTAGAAACACCAGTCAGGGTCCTTTCTGCTGATCAAATGGCCATGCAGGTTTTCTCTGGGTTGTTATTTCTGAGGCCCCGGCCCACTGAGGTTAACCTGGCCGTTCCTTTGCAGTACCACAGTAGCCTGGCGTCCCTGAACGGGCTGGAGGTCCACCTGAAGGAGACGCTTCCCAAAGACGTGGCTGCCTCCCCCAGCAGGATGTACAACTTCACGCATTATGACCGCGTCCAGAACGTGCTGACCAGTAAGGAGAGGCGCACGGGGCCCGGGGTGGGGGTGAGGACTCGGGGCCGGCACCCCCGGGGTTGCTGCTGTGCCCGGAGTCGTGGCCTGCCCATAGGATGCTGCTCTCTCGCTTGGGAGCCAGCGCCCACTGAGTTTAGAATTTGCCTGGCAAACATTTCCTTACTCATTTTGTCTTTTTGGTTGTTTCTCCAACATTTTGAGAGAAGCACACACATGTTCAAATATCTGTGAGAAGGTCTGCCTCGAAATGTTGGTGTTCATGGGCAGAAACTGGTGTTGCTCATTCTCAGGGACATCATGCAGTCTGTCACATGGTGGCAGCTGAAGCGGCCCAGCACGTTGGGTGCTGGCTCTCATGGCCCCGAGTCCCCCGCCACCGCTCTCCCAATGTATAGTGCTGGCGGTGGGGAGGGCAAGGGAGGAGTCTGCCACCCACAACTTCTGTGTCCTTTTCCGGAAGCAAACCTGCCACAGGCAGCCACCTCCCAGGACCGCCGCTTCCTCCGGGCCGTCAGCCTCATGCACTCGGACTTTGCCCAGCTGCCCGCGCTGTACGAGATGACGGTCAGGTGAGTTTCCCCACAACCCGGTCACTCCTGAAGTCCTGCACCCAGAGCAGCCTTTCCAGGGGTCTGGGCCACAGTCTTATCATAATGAAATGAAGAACATTCATCCAGTCCCCTGCCCACCATTACCTCCTTTCACGGGACCTTTGTCTCTTGCCGAAAGCGATGCCCGAGTGCCGTTGCTGCCCACTAAGATGGTCACGTGCTCACAGAAACGGTCAGACTGGCACGAATCTAGGAAGTAAAAGGCTTGCCTCCCTTCGCCCAAAAGACCGGTTAGTCTGGTTCTCTCTTTTTTTTTTTTTTTTTTTTAAGATTTTATTTATTTATTTGACAGACAGAGATCACAAGTAGGTGGAGAGGCAGGCAGAGAGAGAGGAGGAAGCAGGCTCCCTGCTGAGCAGAGAGCCCGATGCGGGGCTCGATCCCAGGACCCTGGGATCATGACCTGATCCGAAGGCAGAGCCTTTAACCCACTGAGCCACTCAGGCGCCCCTAGTCTGGTTCTCTTACTCCAGGTTTTGTTGTTGTGGTGGGGTTTTCTTTTTTGCTTAGAAAAAAGAGATTTTATTTTTGTTATTTTAATCGTTTTTTTCTAAAAAGTAGGATCACACTAATGTACTGTTTTATAAATTCCTTTTTTCACTTTATTATATATTCTAAGCATCTCCGTATCAGTAGGTACAGAGCTATAAATTAGTATCATATAGTATTTAACCAACTGAATTCTACTTTTTCTCCCTACATGCTTCTCTTATGAAACCATAGGAGAAAATCAGGCAAGTGAGAGAGTCAAGAGGGAAGGGCGTGCTCTGTGTTTGTTATTCCACTCAGGCTTGGGATAATTTGGACGGGTGCATGTTTTTGTCCTCATGGTACAGACGAGGATATTGAGGCACAAACAGCATAAGTGGCTTGTCCCAATGTCACAGTCTGATTAAGGGACAGAGCCAAGATTTGAACCTGAGTCTCTCTGACTCTAACATACACATTCTGTCCACACATTTCCAGCTCAGAGGGGTGGGGGAGGGCAGTCAAAATGGAGGGGTGTGGGCTCTGGACTCCCACAGACATGCCTTGGGGCCTCAGCCATCACAGTGATGCTTTGCCAGTGCCCTGCACATGGGGTTTCGGACATCTTTGCGGCCCATCGCCATCTCTGGCCAATACTTCAGTGTATCTTTCCATAAAAATGTGCTGTCTCCAGCTTTAAGTCTGAGCTGCCCCAGGCTGGCAACCTAGATGAACGTGTCCTCTCACAGGTATGGGAACCAGTTGTGCTGGGGTGTGGGGGGTTCTGTTTTGAGAGGGATGGAAATAAGTGAAATGTCAGCCTGAGATCTGTCAACCTCCTCGCGGCCCTGTGGTACTCCACCTTCCTTGGGGAAGAGAGGGTTTTAGTGTTGGGATACGTGGCTTATTTTAATAGTAATAGAAGCAGCGGCCACAGTTTCTTAATCCCTCACCACGTGCTAAGCAATTTATATCTTTGACTCATCTTGTCTCTTAAAAAATCCCAGGGATGGGATTCACTATTGCTCTATCCATTTTACAGATGTGGGACTTAGAGCTGGGACTGAGAAAGGATGAGTCACTTACCAGGGGCACACAGCTCGGGAGCCACATGGCTGGGATCAGCTCCTCGGTGTGTGGGGGCCCTAGCTCATGCTTGTAACCATGAGGCCGTGGAGCCCCCTCTCCGTGGCTGTTGTGACATGCCTCTGACTCTTTCTGCTGGTCCAGGGAGTGGCACAAAACACCTAGGCCAGGGAGGCCCTTCTGGCCCCTTGAGCTCCCAGGGGGAAGCTAGAGGAGGATGGGACTCTCCTCCCTCCTTGCCTGGAAGCAGAGATCCCAGTGAGGGGGGCCCTTGTGGTTCTTGACTCTGCCCTCTCTTAGTAGATTTGGGGAAACAGGCCCAGTGGAGCAGTAGTCCGAGGCTGGCAGGATCAAGGAACCAGCTGGTTGCCTGGCCCTGGAGTTGCTTCCTCCCTCATGGGTCCTCCTTTGTACAGGACCTTTATCCCTCCCTCTGTTTCTGTGATAGGTTTCCTGTCACTTTATGTCATATCCCACTCCTCTGCCCATACTCCCTTCACTCGTCCAGCCACCCTCCGTGGACAGTCTGTGCTTGGCAGCCTGGTGGCATCACCCAGCCCCACGCCGTCAGGACCCTGTCTGTCCCATGGGGTCACCCCTCTGCTGCGTGACTGTATGAGGCTGTCCCGTCAGCACAACGTGCACCCATCCGTGCACCCATGCAGCTGCCTTGCCCCCTTCGGGCTCTGTGGCCAGGGCCACCACACACAGTCACAGCGTCCCGGGAGTGGAAAGGAAAGAGATGGTGACGGGCACGGACGCTGGACCTCAAATGCAGACATCAAAGCCCGAATGGTGGCATTTGGAGTTGCGGGGTCCCCGCAGCACCTCTCGAGGTCCCTGTGGGCAAAGGCCAGCACAGGTGGCACAGGGACGGTCATCTGTGCCCTCTCTCCCCGCAGGAATGCCTCCACTGCAGTGTACGCCTGTTGCAGCCCGGCCCAGGAGACCTACTTCCAGCAGCTGGCTGCGGCGGCACGGAGCTCCGGCTTCCCCAGCCCGCAGGATGGTGCCTTCAGCCTCCCGGGCAAAGCCAAGCAGAAGCTGCTGAAGCACGGGGTGAACCTGCTGTGAGCCAGGCTGGAGGGCACGAGGGGCTCCCCCGCCCGCAGCGGGGAGGCCTGCCTTCTTCAACAGAAGACGTCCCTCGGTTTTCTCTGTCTCGGTAGAGTCCCCTTTGCAGACACCATAATGACAATTGAGTGTCTGTGAACTCGTTTGGGAGCCCAGGGTTTCAGTGGGTAGTACTCTGGGTCAGCAGGTCCAGAGCTCATGGTAAAGGGCCTTATGACACTGGCCACAGCCTACCAAAGAGGGCTGGGGCCTGACGCTCACTCTGCGTCTGAGGCTCCCAGCATTTCTCACTACTGCTCCCATCAAGGCTTAACTAGTACCACGAATGTTCAGGTGGCTGTTTCCTCCAGAACCCCATTGTTCTGAGTCCCGTGGACATCGTGAGGTGGGCTGCACAGGGGGGTAGAAGTGGTTTGCAAGTGGACAGGGACTCCCACACCTCGGGTGTGGGTTCATCAGAGCACCCCTCCCGGGAGTTCTCAACACTCGATGCAGGGAGGTGGGCAGCAATGCCAAAACCACCTTGTTTGCCTTCTTCTGGAACTCTGTGCAAAACCAGGAGCCCGGTCTTCAGAACACCCATGGTTGGAGCCAATCTTGATACCGTGCAAAGGAGCCTGGCGTTTTCAGGTAACTTAGCCCTGGGGTGCCAAGACGGGGAACCGGGTGCTCCTTTGGTGCGAGGAGGACTGTGCAAGTGAGTGTCCTCAGCAAGGAGTTTCCACAATGTCTGGGGCAAAAGCAAAGCTTTGTGAAAGGGAGCGGCACGCACGGGTGTTCTTGCCCATGTCCGAGGCAGACGGTGTGTGCTAACGTGTTTGACGTCACAGTAGGAAGTACTTACCGGAGGCTTAACTGTTCCCTGGGAGTACCTGAGATCCCACTGGAAAACTGTAATGTTAATAATTTCCTAACAGTGAACCAGTGTCTCTTGTTGATGACAGTGTCTTTTTCTTAAAACAAGTTGCCAATGGTTAAAAATAAAACAGCCCATACTGCTGTTGGGTTGTGAGTAATGCTAACATCTCCAGTGACAAAGTTAAGGGTTAACATATTTTATGAGTGTGTGTGTGTGTGTGTGTATTTGGTACAGACACCTTTCTTGGTGCTGTGCCAATGTGGGCAGGTGATGGGGGATACACTTCAGACTGGTACACGGGTGTGTCCGCGAGGAAGACAGTGCGGCCACTGACCCAGCTTCAGTGTGGCTGGCCCAGCACACCAGACCTAGTTAATTTTCCTCCCTGGGGTCCCTCCCGCATTGGCTGGCCTAAGTTAAGGGTCATCTTCCCAGATGGAGGAGAGCACACCCTAAGCTAGGGTAAATGTTTACTGTCCTACTGCTCTGCTAAATTCTCCCAAGAAAAAATTCGGCACAGGCCTCTGTGTTACCCCTTCAGGGAACTTTCCCATGACTGACTGACACAAAACATGGCCCTTTTCTGTAGTGGGGTTATTTTTAAGCAGCCAAACTCTTCCTTTTGCTCACTGGGGCTCCAGAATTCTGAAGTCCCCAGATTTGAGCTCAGGGACATTACAACCTGTCCTGTGTTGAAATGGGGACAGAATTTGGAGCCCAGAACCCATTTTCATCTGCCTGCTCCCAGCTTAGCTAATGGCCTGACTTCAAGGACTTTTCCCAACCCGATCCATTTCAGGAAAAAATCACTGGGCTGTCACTGGGGCCTTTCCTAGATGTCATGCCATCTGCAGACCTTAATCTTACTGGGTGTGCTTTTGGAAACCTCTTTCCCCATCTACTTTCTCAGAGCTGCCATTGAGCCTAAAAACACTCTTAACACAAAATGCTTTTGTTTCTGAGAATCCATGTTCTAGGCAGACACACACTTCCTCTTTAGATCTGACCCTAAATTAAGTCTTAAAAATTCACTGTAGAGCCAGAGATCAACACAGCAGAATGTGAAGACCCACACGCAATGGTTAGTTCAAAATAATGAGCACAAATTCTCTACAACAAATTAGGGACCTACCTTCTCCCTTGAGCAGGGCCTATACTTAGTGATTTGCTTCTAACAAACAGAACGTGGTAAAAACGACAGTATGACTACTGGGAGCAAGTTACACAACACGTGGCAGCTTCCATCTCTTGGTTCGTCTCCTTTGGGGGAAGCTGACATTCAGGTAGCCCGTGGAGAGGCCCTCGTGGTGAGGGTCTCCCGCCCACAGCCATGCGAGGGAGCCTTCTTCCTCCAGCCCTGGTCAAGCCTTCAGATGAGTGCAGCCTTATAACAACCTGAACCAGGACTGTCAAACCAAGTTGCTTCCGACTTCCCATTATGTGACATAATCAATGCGTGTGGTTCTGAGCCACCGTTTGGGGGTCGTTTGTTACACAGTAAGAGCTCATTAAGACACTTGCGTGCGAATATCCCATCCACCAAACTAGGTTCCTTGAAACTTTGGCACAGGGGGCCATTGAGCCAAATGCTAGACGAAGCTGCAGGCTCGGATCCCAGCTACTCCTTTCCCACTGGAGAGAGCAGGGCTGGACAACAGCAAGATACTGTGAGCGCTCCCTCAGCTTTCTTCCTCCAGCTTCCTGAGCCTGACATTAATGCCCAGCTGGGTTCCCCCCTTTCCTCTGGGCACTGCCCTGGCCTCTCTTCTTACTCCAGCCTCGCAGGTGCCTCCATGCAGGTCACCCTTCTCTGAAAGTAAACAACCAAATGGCCCCAAGCCCCCAGCCTTCCCGGCCCCAGCCCAGCTTGCTTCTTGGGGAGGCCCACAGTGAGGTGCATGAAAACCCACAAAGCTTTCCGCTGGAGTTTGAGGAAACGCAGGTGGAGCTGGGGGACGAGCAGCAGTGTGGGGGAAGCTGAGACAGTCCCTCTGGATGCTGATTTCCTCAGTCCTAGGATACATGTCCAAGAGCTGGGGGTCACCTGGAGAGTGGCCTCCCCTGGTGTGCATTTCCACTGTTCCTGAAGCCTTGAACATCTCCCCGTCACCAGCCCAGCACTGGGCTCTCAGCTATGGCGGCTTCAGCACATTGCCCTCTGGCTCCAACTTGCCCTCAGCCAGTGTCCCCCAGCACCAGAGCAGAGAAGACAGCTGCATACAGTCATTTGTGCTGTGAACCTTCTGCTCTCCACCAAGATGGGACTTTACAAGGCCTATTCCTTGTGTATGGAAAAGCGCCCCCCGACCCGAGTCTCATCGACCCGGATTAATTCAGAAAAGCTGGAGTCCATAAACATGCACAGGCACACCCCTTCCCTCTGCTTCTCTGGTCCCGTTTACTTTCTGCCGTGGGGCTCAGCTCCATGACCTCAGTGGCAGCCTTGACCCTGACCGGGGCCCAGAGGCCGCTGGAAGCACACTGCTCAACCCCCGTCTTCGTGTTCAGTACTACAGAGGTTCTGGTGACCGAGGACATCATTTCCTGACAGTCCCAGGCCCATACTCTGAAAATTAGCATCTGGACTCTGGGCTCCTCAGAGCAGGGATCCTCCTGCTAGAGTGGGCCCCATACCCCCGGGGCTGGTGTGCCCCCAGGGAGGTGGCATTTGCAGGACAGACCCTTCCCTGCCTTGGTTTACAGGTGATACCAGAGTGCCCGCATCCCCCTGGACAACAGCCTCATGCCAGCAGGGAACACGGGATGGGGAGGAAGGGAAGGGTTCTGTTTTGGGTCAGTCCATGCTGGCTGCCCAGCATCGACTACTTGTGAGCCTCCAGGATCAAGTTCCCCTGGTGTGATTAATAGTGGCATTCAGACTGCTTCTGGGAAAGGGCCTCTGGTCCATGGGCAGGGCGCTGGGGTGGTGCTTTGAGCCTAATCAAGCTGCCTAGGGAGGCTGGTGGGGAGCATCCAGGCTCTCTGGGTCTTGTCACATTGACAGCAGTAGCACGTGGAGCCTGGCGGCCGCTCCACACTCTCTCAAATGTTAACCCCACGGTGGTCCTCTCCGAAGTGGCTGACATGCCCTTCACACCCCCACCAATACCACTTTCCTAACACCCCACCCTGCAGTGAGTGGGGGGCCCCCAGAAGTACCACCTCCTCATTCCTGGCTGCTGCGTTACCTCAGAAGCTAAAGATCCTGCTGGTGTGATTAAGAATCTGGAAGTACATGGCGTGCCTGGGTAGCTCAGTTGGTTGAGTGGCTGCCTTTGGTTCACATCATGATCCTGGAGTCCTGGGATCAAGACGCACATCAGGCTCCCTGCTCAGCGGGGAGTCTGCTTCTGCCTCTGACCTCTACCCTCTGTGCTCTCTCTCTGATAAATGAATAAAATCTTAAAAAAAAAAAAATCTGGAGATGCAGAGAATATTCTGGATTACCCCAGTGCCATCACAAGCCTGCTTAACAGAGAGGCAGAGGAAAACAACTCCTGTTGAGAGGAGGTGACGTGGAGGCAGAGACGAGTGACATAGCCACAAGCCAGGGCCACCAGATGCCTAAGGAGGTGAGGGACGGATTCTGTCCTGGAACCTCGGGACAGCACCCACAGGAGACCAACGCGTCTGCCTTGCAAGTGATTTGTGTGTCCTGGCAATTCCAAGCCGCTGGTCTCTGGACAGTGCGGTGCCACAGAGCACAGATGGGGCCCCACCACCTCCACCACCCCCACCGAGAAGCCCTGCATGCTTACAGGGGTGCTGGGAATTTATCCTGGGCAGAGGAGAGCTTTGAAGCAGGGAGTGACTGGATTGGACTCTCATGAGAAAGGTCACTGGCTCTTGAACAGATGAGAAGCAGGGTGATGGGAGGAGGAGTCCCTGTCCCCCCCAACCCCTGGGCCATCGTGAGGAGACTGGGGAGGACAGGGTGTACAATCAACACTTGTCAGCTGGGCGGAGGAGAAAAAAGATACTCGATCTTTTCTCAAGGTGTTTGTTGAATCTGGGAAGCTTAAGGTAAAGGTTCTTAGGGCTTTGTGAGACTGAAAAAGGACGTTTCCTCTCTGTTTACCTTTAACAGGTAAATTGGCTATCCTTCTCCTGGGAATAAAATCCACAGTGCTCATGAATCCTGTTAGAGCCCAGAGGCCACTCCCTGAGTGCCCGCGTGTGTATGTGTGTGCGCGCGCACACGTGCGCAAGCGTGCATGCACATGTTCCAAGCAGAGTGCCCCAGGCAGGGCTGGAGGCCTGGACGTTGAAACCCCATGAGGCCCCCTAGGCAGGGGGAGGGGGAGACAAGCAGCCCCACCTCCCATGAGCAGGCGAAAAGGCACTGTGTATGTCTTCCCTCCAACCAGCCCGCAGGGGCTTCTGTGGGCCCTGGGCTCAGATCACATCTCTCTGACTTGCTGGGGCTCAGGGACTTGACTTCTTGGAACTTGAGTGTCTTCTCTGACATGGAGAGGAAAAGGTAATTATGTAAAGGCATGGCGTATTGTGGGGGCTCCCAGAACGTGGGGTTCGATGAATGTCCCAAGAGGACAAATGGCCTCTCCAAGAGGTCCCTGTGCCAGCCATGG